ACACTAATCTGAGGCTAAGAACGTGTTGACGTATTATGATAGCAAGGTGTTCTTCGAAGACGAAAAGCTGTACTGGAAATGCCACCTTCTCATGATAGATGTAGGTTTAGGAAGACTTGGTTCAGAAACTAGTATATTTTATTTAACCAGATAGATTCCTCATGTCGCTTGTAATACATCAGGTTATTGGCAACTACCTATAAAAGATAGCAATCGCAACAAGACAGCATTTACTATACGCGATAAACAGCATAAATTTAAACGAATGCCGTTCGGGTTAGCGGGTGCACCGTTTACGTCCAGAAGATTAATGACACTACTGCTCAAGAATCTAGATAACGTGGAGGTATATGGCGACGATGTAGTTGTATACAGCCTGACGGAAACAGATCACGTCAAGCATGTGGAAGCAGTCTTAAAGCGAACTGACGAATTTGGGCTTCGAATTAATAAGGAAAAGTCGCAGGTAGCGAAAAACAGCGGTACGGCGATCAGAAAGACTACGACGACAGGGGGGACGAGTGTGGTGCGCGCTACTTACACGTAGTATATGACGCGAGTAAAAACGTAATGTCTGGCAGCAGAAGATGGGGGAAGATCAAGAAAAGAAGAGCAGGAACACAATGGGATTTGTATGGAACGCATGAACAGTGTAACGTCAGAAAATGGATTGATGTTTTGCAAAAGGAACAGTCCAGTTCGATATGATGGATTGATATTTTGAAAATTAACGATTTACGAAATGGTTTCCCTATATTACCAATTAACTCTGTAATTTGCGATAAATACAATTCGGTTGCCCTCACCTATGTTCTCCTTCACTACAGTACTAGTGAATAGTCACTCTCCAACAAGAAGAAACAATAAATATACTAAATAAAACTCAAAAAACTATGAGAAGATATAAAATATGAATATGTATTAGGAGGACTACAATTACCTAAAATCAACTTGTCACGTAACATCAATCACTCTAATCACTAATCATAGTTTTCGTATGAATATTAATCAAGAAATCTACACTTTTGTAAACAATTCAAAAACTTAACAGTTAGTCGATGATCTAATATAATTTTACACAATATTGTCCATGCGTCTTAGTTTATTTGTTTGTTTGCCAGCATCATTCGGATTAAATTAATTGAAATTTTTTGAAAAAAATTGTTAGTACATTTACAAGTGTACAATGTAAATTGATTTGAAGATAGGCATCTGACTGAAAAATTATTTTATAATATTTATCTATCCGGTTTACTAAATCACGTATTGCTTTCAATGGTTTAAACTGTACAACAATAATCTGTTTAATTTAAGCATAAATAGCTAAACTAACAGAAAAGCGTCCAATTTGAACGAGGAAACATTCCCCTCCACTTTGCCAGTTTCATTTACAGTAATAAGCAAAATGTAATAACAAGAATTATTTTTTCTAATGATTACATTCAGTTGATTAACTTAGCAACAATTTCTATCTTAACGTATCTCTGTTTTGTTGAAAAGACAAGGTCAGTGAATGAATGATTTACAAATAGATAAACCAATAACACATGCATAACTCAGATGAACATTATGAACAAAAAAAAAGAACCACAACATTGACATATGGATGGATGGATATACATCGGTACAGTGAAAAAAACAAACAATTAAATGATAGACAATGGTATTTACTATGACTAAGTAGTGGTGTATGAGTGATAATGAATAATCAGACATTCTAAATGCCTAAGTGATTAAATATCGTATGAAGGCTTTTCTTTCTGTACTTTAATTAGATTAGACTGACTCCGATTTTAGACGAGAAATTTCACTGAATCCATGTCAAACAAACCATCAACATCATCATCAACACTAACACCCCACTACTGCTACTGCTGTACAAAAATTGTACTAGGTCACATCTATTTCAAGTTAAGACATAAAACAATACAAAGTAAAATAATGACTGACCCTGAATTGAAACAACAGAGTTTCTAGTCTAACAAAATGACCTTAACGGGCTAGAATTGATTTGACATCACGGGTGTGGCAATAGTATTTTCGGTGTGTATGAAAAACACTGACAGTTATGGGCGGAATAAGCACACACTGAAACAGGATGTAGACAATATTGTTTGTCTAAACATATATATATATATATATATATATATATATATAATAAAATTCTTAAGATTTAGTAAACGACTTAATAGAGTGAGTTTATTAGTGAAGCGGAAATTGATTTCTGAATTATTTATCATCATAAATCATGGAGATAAGTTTACGTTAAGGTGACATTCGTCAAAGATTGCGATACCATCGAAAATTAGGGGATGCTGGGGAGTTGTTTCATCTTCGTATTGAACACCTCAGTAGTCCGCATTATAAAGCCGCCAAATAAACGATATTTCCGATGAGTTAGGTGTACAGTGATAGTGAATAAATTAATTAATACACATGAGAGCTGTCTAAAAGAATGTAATGACCGGCTAGTAAGAGATACAAGTAATCTTGCAGGATTTCACCATTTGTTCATCATACTTCAATGATTAGTCGCTTAAATTATTCGATAATAGTATCGAATTTTTTTTTAATATTTGTAATAAGTCGATGACAGTATCGATCACTGTCTATTTGAATGAGTATGTGGATGCCTACTCGCTTATTACATGTCTAACCTATTAGTGCTTGACTATAAATACTTAGTCATTGCTTCAGCGCACGGACAGTTGGCTCAGTCTCCTTCTCCAATTCGCTTCGCTTTGCCTGCAAGCTTTCCATTCTCATGCCTGTCTGTTTAAATGAATGCATAAAATAAATTCATCCGCAAAACCGTCTTTGGCTTCCCTATTACCACCGTCGCACAAACGGTAGTAGCCTAAGTATGATATACGGATATGGAAAGGAAGATTTATTTCATCACATACTTGATCATTCGTCAAACTAGAGTCAAGTCGTGGGCCACTAAAATCTCTTAAAAATTAGCAAGGATACAAACGAAATGAATACTTCAATGTACGAAAACAATGATCATAGAACACCAAAAAAAGACTAATAAAGACAAATATTAGATATGGGACAAAGATGCAGCCGTTAAAAATTGTTTTAAGTCACAACTCACAATTAAGAGGTGTAGAGTCACAAATTTCAAAATTTTGAAAAAGATGGAGTTTCTGTTTTACTGTGTAAACTTTCGAGTTTTATCATTTAGGATCTTCGATAGAGAACATTTTGAAATTTGAATGACTCTTTAGTTCAGAAGAAATATTTTACGGAGTTTTGTGATACATTGACAAATGAGTTTACAAGAAACTAAAAAAAACAACAAGAATTTACAGAATATGGTCTGTTACATTGTCTCAAAACTAATGAGCAAATAGTTCATTTCTTGTTTTGTCATAGACATACTTCTAGATATAACATTATCCTCGACGAAATTTTCAGGAGTAGACCTTCTACCAGGTGGCTCGCTTATCGACTTAGAATATGCTGATGACATAGTTTTATTCGGTGGAGACAGTGACAAAATGCAGTGTCTCTTGATTACCCTAAACAACAATGCGAGCATGTTCGGGATGCGGTTTTCCCCCTCGAAATGCAAAATGTTGCTTCAAGATTGGGTTGCATTGGCACCTGAACTAGTGATAGGGAGTGAAGTAGTCGAACATGTAGACCGCTTCACTTATCTTGGGAGTCTCATCAGCGCTGACAGCCTGGTGACTGACGAAATCTCAGCTCGGATACAGAAGGCTCGATTAGCTTTTGCCAATTTACGCCGTTTATAGAGTAGGCGAGATATCCGTTTGCTGACTAAAGGACGGGTGTACTGCGCAGTGGTTCGCTCCATTCTCCTATATGGAGGCGAAACATGGCCGTTAAGAGTAAATGTTCGTAGGTTGCTAGTATTCGATCATAGGTGTCTTAGAAGTATTGCTCGTATATCGTGGGACAACCGAGTAAGCAATGCTGTCGTTAGGAAACGAGTTCTAGGTTAGGATGGCAAACCAATAGATGAAGTAGTGAAACTTCATCAGTTGAAGTGGTTGGGACATGTGTTACGTATGGCTAACCACCGACTGCCTCGACGAGCTATGTTTTGTGTAGGAGTAGGTTGGAAGAAAGCTAGGGGCGGCCAGACCAAAACACGACAGAAATCCATGAAGTCATTGACAAGTGGACTGAGTCATGCCGCTTTGTGTATGCATTTATGTAGGAATTTGGTGCCGCATATGACCAATTTGTTGAAGGCACATAGGTTTGCAAATCTCTCACAATTTTCATTCCTTTCTCCCACACCATGTTGTCTCATGATGTCTTCACATCAGATGTTGTCCACTCCGATCTTGGGATTTAGGCCCCTCGGCAGAACAGCCACATCATCTGTTAGGCATTGCTCGACGACTGATTGCAGCCTCTCGTAGAATTGGTGTTTGTATCGTTGGTAGGCGGATATCACTGAATGATATTTATTGTAATCCTCTCTTTCTGTGTCTTGATGGATGCTTTGATGACCTTGGGTGAATGAGATTATATATTACATAAAACTTACTAAGTGATTAACACAAAACTTAGGATCGATTCCCGGAATCCAGGGTCGTGGATACACACTGATGAGAAATTTCATGCTGAAACAAAAGTCTTGTAGTGTTCCAAGGATTTTAACGTTGGTTTAGATGAGATTAGATGGTGATTTAAACTATAAAAATTCCACAATCTCCGAAAACCTCCAAGACCTAACAATAAACTAGTATGTAAATTAGGTTGAACAATAATATTTGACTACAAGAATAGTTTAAGTACATTCTCTACGGTTAACGTTAGCAATGAAACTTACAGATTAGACAAAGTTATTAGTTGAACTATTTGAGAATCACTTAGTTTAGTAAATTGGATGATGGAGGATAGTTTTCAAAAGAAACGTTATGAACTGAACATCATAATAAAGAATTATTCAATAATTACACTAGTAATGATTTGGAAAATAATTAAAGAAAATAACAAGTCACAACAAAATAAACAGCTTACCGCCATATTTTAATTAAAGAATCACATCCACCAGAAGCTAGTCGTTTGACAGGAGGGATCAGACTATTTGCTGCTGTTGTTGTTACCAATGTTGGATTAAATATAAATTCAGCATTTATGGAAGGTGCCCAAGACACGCTATTGACACCAACCTTAAACAACAGAAAAATAACTTGATTTATAATGCATGTCATGTAAAGCAATCCATCTTCAAGTATTGAATTACATTGACGATGATATCATCACATTAATGGATATCAAACTAATCGATGGAGTGATATCTGTAGGGAACATAATGACAGTTTCTAGAGTATTTTGGCGATTCTGACCAAAACGTGAGAATGATTCTGAAGTTGATATTTATGTCCACTTCAGCAAATTATTTATTCATCTGAAACTTTGTGTACATAAATTACACAATCACAATACTACTTAATGTTGTTCAACCAGAGTTCGTTTGATTTACACACACAGATTTGTGGTAATAAAGACAAAAATTCAATCGGTATTCTCTATTATACGGCAACCCATGTAATAGATGTACAGATACGATCACAAGCGAATGATGATATTATTTAGTTTTTTGTGAAGATAGAATACTATGTTAAACAACTAGGCCAAAAATAATGGGCAAGTTCATGAGAAACTAGTGTCCCTCTGAAAGCGAGACAGGTAAGAAGCACGAGGTATTTAACATAGTTCTACAATGTATCATATTAGGCTTTTAAAGGTAAAATTCCGAAGTGATATACGTTGAGTCATGAAACTCTAGAAATACAAATTTTTACTCGTTCAGATATTACCAAAATATTATACATTTATTATTTCTTAATACGCCTACAGGCATTAAATAAATGATGATAACATTGATAATAATAATAATAATAATATATGTAAGTTTAAGTTATGAGAATACAAAGAGGAAGGTTGTATGAATAGTAATCAGATTATGTCGCCATATCATCAGAGTGATTGTTAACTCATTAAGCCGGAAGTTGGTCAAAGTAAGAGGAGTGGTTGAGCATATTTTTTCTGGACGCAAAGCGTCGTCTTGTTAATCTGAATAGTAATTACTTTAGTTGTCCGAAGAAATATTAGTCTGAAGGATTTAGACAGATTGTTGTTAACAAGATATATGATTGTAAATGATTGTTTCATGTTGGCTAAATGGCCCATTTGTGCTAAATAAGCCAGAATAGGATTGCTCTTACTGTTATTACGTTTCCTTTTCCAATTTATTTGAAACTATCAAGTCTAACCTTGGTATTTGTTTCAGATTCTAGTTAAAATGATTTAAAATAGATTCAGAACACTTTATGAAATAAAAGAAACTAGATAAATTGCGAATCGAGTACATGTAGCTTGTTTGTCAAATACTGTAACTGAGATTATGATCAACTTGGAGATGATGGAGAACATGAGTAGAATCTTGATGGTATTTCGCTCAAAAGAGGTCAACTTAACTAAGAAGTTTAAAACTTTTTGTAACGACATTTTTAGAAGTAAATCTTGAAGAAGAAAGGTATTTATTGAAGACCCAATGATAATTAATATTGATATGGGAAAATGATACTTTTATTAACTGATATAATGGAGTTGCAGTGGAATATTATTCACTTTTTGAGTTTATACATTCACATTCCTGAGACAATGAACGAGAAAACTGTATCCTAAGTAATTGCCAACTTTTATTAAGGAGTACATTTCAGTGATAATATGAATGAATATTTTTGAAAACAATATGCAAACTTTCAGAACAGAGGTTTTACATTGAAATGATGAGTGATCATTGTGTAGAGTTTTTATACTACTAAAATGTTTGTTAGTAGCTTGACGTGCTTCCGAAAAAAATAATATCGACGACTCCAATATTAATCTTCAATCTTTACACCTCAAACAATAACGGGGTTGACTCTATAAAAATTCAAAGGCTTATGAAAATACACAACTGAGAATATTACTTACAGAATGTGCATCTGGAATTCGGAAGGCACGCCAAGAGTTCGCTTCGTCTGATACAAGGATGGAGATAGTTCCATCTGAACTAGCACATGCTAACATTGGTCCATAAGAATGGGGAGCCCAACAGACGCAATTGACTATTAAACAACAAACAAACAAACGAAGGAATGACTTTGGATAACAAAATTAAGGACTGCAGAGTTAACCAGATACGATGTTATAAAGTTGAAAGGAAATATTTTGAAATTATATTTGAACTACGGAATGTAGGCGGACAGCCCTTTCCAGCTGCCCACACTGTGGAAGGGTGTTTCTTGAGGAACCTGAAAAGGAAGATAGATTAGTGTTGGTCTTAATGACATGGGAGCGAGACCGCATAGCTCAAGGGACAACTGCTTGAGGCCGGTCACATTCGGCCTTTTAATAAGTTTTTAAAGTGTTAGTTCCGCTCTTGAAAGCCCTTATTGGGCATTCTTACCCAAGGAGACGGAAATCCGTGAGGTAGGGGAGGTGTGACATTTTTAGGGCCGACCTTTTCTAACCCTTCCTTCCTTGTGAGAAGGCAGCATCACTGCAGATGCTGGTTGTCTGAGGGAAACACCTTACTACTATCACACCCCTCTGCAGTAAGCAGTACGACATCGCTCTCAGACCTTGAGTATCTGCTTTAGTTTCATCGTTCTCCAATCAACCCGCCTCGCATGGTAGAACCTACAGGAACATATGTTCCAGCCAATATAGCTCGGTTGGGTCATCACGACAGGCAATCCCGACCACCATGTCAAGGTAGCAGCTACGGTCGGGGTAACTCTTGGCGTAGGCGAGACATCGGTCTGTTAACCAAAGGATGAATCAAATGTGCAGCAGTTCGCTCCGCTCTACTAAATGGGTGTAAAACATGGCCTCTAAGAGTGGAGGATATTCGTCGGCTTCTAGTACTCCGTTATAAGTGTCTTCGAATTATTGCTCGAATATCCAAGGACGACCGAGTACGCAATGCTGGTGTTAGGAAATGAGTACTAGGTAAGGATGGCAAATCAATCAGTGAGGTAATGAATGTTTATCAGTTGAGGTGGTTGGGACATGTGTCATCTTCTCAACCACCGACTAGCTATGCGGTGTTATATGGTGTAGGAATAAAATGGACGAAAAATAGGGGCAGACAAACAAAACCATGGCGGCAAAAATCCTTGAAGTCATTGGCAATTGGACTGAGCCATGTTAGTACGTGTGAACTGCCTGGCTTACAAGAATGTTTTTTCTGCTCCTAATCAATGTCTGACAGGTTTAGCTACTTCTTTTAAACGGATAAATTTTACGAAGCTCCAAAGGAGTAACATAACGAACATGTGAGATTATATTTAGGAAGAACGGTTTTTAATAACCTTTCTAAACTAACAATGCTTGTAGAATTATATGGGAAGCAGTTCTCCTTAAAACTGATAACAACCTACTCGTGGCTACGAATACATTGCAATAGTGATACTAATCAACTTATACTCGTACAGGATTATATATAGCTTCAAATTATTGCGACTGTATCTAACCTGAACTAGCATGTTCAGCATATTCAAAAACTTTTCCCCATCGTCCGTTGATTTCTTGCCAGATAATCACTTTACGATCGTAGCCACAAGAAGCTAATAAACTCCCATATATAGGATGCGACCAACTTAAACTCCAAACAGGTCCTTGGTGCCTATAAGAAAATGATGAATAAATAAAATACATGACGAAAAGGTTGGTTTTTTTACCAAAAATTTTATGTGAACAATATTACATATAAATGTGGCTGCAAATTTTACGTAAACGAAATACGTCAAAGAAAAGTAAAATGAATTTATTTGTAATAGTGACTGATGTTGCTGATGTTACAACAACTAACAAGGCGGATTTTATCCATCTTTTAAGTGATGCGCTATTGAAACAGCCACGGAAAAGATAAAATAAGAAATTTACTATGCACTTTGGAATGATGGCAACATTACTAATCATGTTGAGATAAATTCAAAAATATATAGTAGTGCAAACGACAAAATAGACTGAAACGTACTCTCGTAGGTGGGCTATGAGAACTTGTTTCTTGTTACGAACATCGAATATTTTTATTGAGTGATCGGACGAAGCTGTTGCTAGGGTTGTTCCATAATAGTCCAATTGAGCATCATGCTAAGAATTCGACAATATTTGAAATACAAAAAGCTTACGATCATATCTTCATGGTCAGTATCAATAGTTTGAATGCTGGAAACCTAAACGAACAGTTAGATAAAGATATTAGATAAAGGTAACACTTTGTAGCAATATCGTTATAAAGGAGCTGGATGGTTTGGTGGACCAAACCACTCAACTCACAGAACCAAACTTCACCATACTTTATAATCCATTTAAAGGTTTGCCTAAAGGTTTACAAAGTTATATACCATTTTTGACTCGAAAAAGAGCTTATTAGACTTTATGATTCTATGTTAACAACTTGGAAGAACGTAAGCTAGATAGTGATCTGGATCGGTATTTTGAAATCCGATCAAAGCAATTACATTATTGTATGTGTATACGTTAGCCCGATTGTTTGATTTTGATCAGGTTTACTTAGTGAGAACTTGAATTTATTGTCGATGGAAAGTCTCATTTATTAAAAATAGACATAACGCTTAGAATACACTGACAAAAGATATATAAGACTTGTTTTGAAAGGAATAGATCGCAACCAGGTGTTTAGTTCATCATAAAACATTGAGACAAAGCTTGATCATGAAGCTCTTGAAAATAAGATAACAATTTTGTTATTTTTAGTACCGAAAACAAAGGTGAGAGTTATGGACTCACAACTAACCAAATAATTCATTTCAATTTAGAAACAGATGTAGAAACATGAGGCTGACACATATAAACGAGATGTCTGATTTCAGTTTCTTTTGATTTGAGGTCAGTTTAATTAAGTAGATACAATTCATACTAAGTAGACTGCTTTGGGAGATAACTTTTGAGATCTAGTGTACTACGAAGTCACCTAATTGTCTTGTCACCATAAAAATAATAACCAGTGTTTTATTGTTTAAAATGCATGAATTAGATATTAGCTGGCTGCTACAAAACCTCTTACCATAGCTGAAAATATGATAAACACGTCACTAAGTAACGCAGATCTTCAAATTACCGCCTTCCAATATCCAATATCCAATATCTTTTTCACGAGCTAGTGTAAACCAATTTGATTTCTTCGCGCTCGATTCTTGTTCTTTCGGTACGGTTCCAGGTGTTCGGTAATGTCCAATGGATGGAGGTCTAGCCACTCGACTGTCTTGTGAATATAATCCCAAAAACGAAGTTAGATATGGTAGATTATTCATTATGACTCAAGATTCGCAGATAAATCCGTGTTCCAGAAGAAAACTATGAATCACTAGCCAGGTCTCATAGATTCCTAAGAGTATAAGAAATTATTAGATAACTTCTGCTCAGATGATACATTCATGTTTTTGTAGAGATAAATACTGTGTTGAAACAGTTAGCGAATGTCGGATCCCAACTTTATTATTCATATCTCTAACAAACGTATGTTAGTTCACGGTCAAAGGCGTAAGCAAGCTAATGAAGTGGTGATGAGTCCACTTTTATGAAGAGAACGTGATCGGTTTACTTTCAGACTATTTTTCCATTTTGGTTATACTGCTCGCTCTAACTTCTCCCTTTTTCTCTGTTATGATTTTGGTATCCCTTCTATACTACTAAATCGCCAACAAATATATTCTCTTGCGTAATGTACTCATCTTTGTCCTTGATTCATGGATATAGTATATTTAGTGATCGGAACGTAGTGTCGAAAATAGTCAACCGCGAGTCGTGTCACTAAAGTACTCTGCTACTCCACAATGGCAGTTATATAATCTGTTATACTGCAACAGTTTTTATCAACTATCCGAAACTGTCGCGGACACAGCGTTATGAAGCTCTTCTGTCTTTGACACTCGAAATAAGACAGTGAATAACCTGAGTAAGCAAGTTTTCGTGAGGGATGCGTAACATGATTTATCCGGTCGCGACCACGCTCTGGGCGGCTGAAGCGTTTCAGTATGAAATTCATCAGCAGTGCGCATCCACTACCTCCACATCCAGGAATCGAACCCAGCACCTTCGGTCGAACGCTAATGCTTAAACCCTAGACCACTGAGCCAGCATTCCACGGTGTTAAAGTCTGACTTCAGTTAATCCACGATATCACGCAACCTCAATTATTGCCTTCGGTGCACATCTGCCTCGCACTCGACACTGCTGAATTCCATCGGTAACAGCTTCTCGCTAGAACTCCGAGAATTCGCTCACGAAGCTAGTCACTAGTGAGCATGTGCTTCCCGGTATCTAACGGTGGTCTGAGATCGACTGATACACGATTAAATGAAACTCAACAATCTCTGAAACTCCATAACGAAAACTATATAAGTGATTTTAGATTTCATCGAGATACGTATCTTCTTCACTAGTAATGAAAGTCCCGCCCACAGGAAATCTAAATTAAACTATCCAGTATGGACTCAGTAATGTAGATGATTGGTGTAGGCGTTGGAACTTAGGACTCGATACTGAGAAATGTGGCTGGTCATGTTATGGAGACACGTCGGTCAAAATATGTCTCTTCCTCAACAAGAATGTACTTCCTAAACTCACATCAGTAACTGATCTAAGAGTGCATTGCTCTCAAAGCCGAAATTATCTGAATGTATTTCCAGTAGTTTCCCGGATGAGAAAAATGGTAGGTCTCACATTTCATAACTTCTCTCATAGAGAATCCAGAACATTTGCTTCAAAACATGCGTAACACCTATTGTTAAATACTGACCATTCTTATTTTCAAAAATACGCCTTTTTGATGTACTGAAGGTTGAAGTAATACAAGGGAATTCGTCGCTGAAACAACACCACCTGCTGCTTAACCTCTAGTAATTAGGAATCGACAGCCCGAAAAGCATTCACAAAGTTCGGATTGGATAAAACTCTATAAGCATACATAATTTTATGAGTTCCTTATTTTCTGTCATCAGTTTCGCTGTCCTCACATGCACTCCGTTGATTTATAACTGTAATACTCCGACGCTATCCCTCCACCACTATATCCTAAATGCTTATAGTTCGTTTGAAATGCTATACTTTTCTCCATACCGGTAAACCGTGTTGCATTGATGCCTAACCCATAGTTCATAAGTTGTAACAGCCAGATAAGCTTTTACGATGGAACTTGCAGAAACAGTGTTTCGCAAAGTGATGTAGAATATCAAGCCTCGAGTAGAACTTAAAATATTACTTTAGAATCATTTTTAATGAGCCTAAGAACCCGAAAAGAGTAAGGGTGGAGTTACTAAACAACAAGCGTTGCTGATGAGGGCTATGACTTCAATCCATCTATTTATGTGCGGCAGAACAGTTTATCTGCTTCTGGCTCATTTTGGTTGAAGAAGCGACTAATCAGTGATACTGACGTTGCTCTTATACGCTTGCTACTTCTGAGGCTCATGTTTCCAAAAATATGCTGCGTTCGTTATTTTGCCAAAACAACATGCAACATGCATAGTCAGACACTTACATTCTGACTTAGAGGTTGGTAGTCGGTAGTAAAAACATAGACAATAAACAGTATACTTATGAATGTTTTTCACAACTTTTATTCTTCCTTCTGAATTCTCGGGTTCATTGTACCGATGTCCCGCTTCTTGTTTGAACCTCTCTTCTAACCGCTTTGACATACATTACGACCCATTATTCTTCACAGCTGTACTCCCTAAACTGAAGGCTGCATTACTTTACTTTTAATGGTCTGAATGAATTACATCTTGACTTATCATTACTTTGCCTGCACCATCATTAACGGTTAAACAATGTTTTAATGATATATATATGATTGCCTCGTTGCTATTTTTTCTAGACTCTTATTTTGTCCTTTCACGAAACTCTATTCTTAGCGCTACAACCATGGTGCTTTTCAGAAAAATTCACCTTACTTACGCGCACGTCTAGGTCATAGCTCACATCTAGAACCTTCCATTCGACATTTTCCGACAAATTCACTCCCAGATTATGCAAACCACTCAAAAACTCTACTGTTCACCTACCATATTTGTAGTCGTTTGTTGAAAATGTATCTGTTGCTGTTGGTGACTCGGTGTAAACGTGCTGTCAGAAACAGACTCTAATTATTATTCGAACAGTGCAACGTTTTACGGTAAATGAGGTAGCATCTGTAACAGTTTGGTCAAGCATGTAAACTGACATACCTCTTGTGACAAGCTGTGTTGGAGAACAATTATATTACTATTAAATTCTGATTTCTCAGAAGACCAAATCATTGAGATCCATATTCTTTCATGTGGACATTCTGGCCACAAAAGTCAACAAAAGTTATTTTGAACTGTTTGTAATCCTTTTCGGATATGTGGTAAGGCCATGTATCTCACGAATGAGGCTTAAGAAAATTTTAGCGTTTGATTCATTAACATTCGATGTTACGTTATAAATTTTGGAAGGAAGTGGTTCTATCTGACTGCAGCTTAAATGAGGTAAGACTGATTTTACAGAAAACTTTACAACCTACTTTAAAATGCTAAGCGCTCCTATTCATTGAAAGTGTCTAGCGATTTGAATGCTCAAGTAGGTAGACTAAATGGAACCGAGACACCTAGGTGGATTTTGTAGTAACACAGATCATTTAATAGATAATAGCGAAATTGCCCCCAGTTGGTTGGTTGATGTTGGATGGTGAAAAGCTAGGATGTACTTGTAATTAGACAGTAAAAAATAAGAAATTCACCACGGTAAGTTTGCACAGATAGATGGAACTGCAAGGTGAAATCGCAGATTACTGAAGGAAATAGATAAGTTTAGGGATCAGATTCAGGATTGAAAAAGACATAAATCAGTGAAAGAAATACGACGATAAAAAATTCTCGGCAGCTAAGAAGCTAATCAACTGGTGGGAGACAAAGGATGGGTGTGCATGTGGCAAGTCATTTAAAACATTTAATCTCTGATTACGAATATCTACAAACGTTAAATAGTTCAGTCCAATTGTCAATAGCTATACGGACATGTGCCAAATTTTGATAGGGCGCCCATAGAGTTGTCTAAGTCCATTCTCACATCAGACAACTTAGCCAACCTAATATATACACTCCCTAAGCTAACGTAATACATGTTCTAAGAACAATAGTTTATGAAGATTGACAACTGATATTTTAGAAATGAAAAGGACCAATAATTGAAGAAAATCAACGGATATCTAATGTCAAGATGTATTTCAGTATTCAGATTCCTAAGTAGTTGTATCATCCTACGGAATTGTTATGATGGATTAAAAACTGCAAATTGGTGTATGGACGACAGATCACAGAGTAGTTCCAGGTGAATTACAGTGTCAGATAAGATTGCTTACACTGCGCAACCAGGAGGCTGAAAAGTCCATAGGATATCTGAAGCTAGGGAGATCAGCAGAATTAGATACGTTGACAGCTGAAATTTTTAACGATGGTGGTATGGTTTTTACAGTTAGATTAACTGCGATCTCAGCTAGAATCTAAAAACTAGATGTAATCCCATCGGAGTGCTCTCAATCAATGATTATCACAGTCTGTACGAAAGGACCAATGTTCTCTTGTGACAATCACAGACCAGTCAGTTTACCCAAAATAGCATCTAAGATATTAGCTCGTGAAGAGCAGACTCGGGAGAACCAGACAAGTTTCAGACCTGGACGCGGATGAATGTACCAAATACTGACACATCGTACAGGCTTTCTACTCGAACACGACTGGTCGAATCACAACACATGGTGAACTGTCAACGAAGTCGATTACATAAAGTGATGTTCGTCAGGATTATCCACTTTCTCCACTCTTATTCAACTTCGTCACTGACATGCTTTTAAATACGACAGTTTTATCGTTTGACTTTTAGGGAGTAGAAATTCTACCGGGAGATTCACTTCTTGATTGAAAATATGCTGAGGATATAGTTGTGTTTGTCGTAGTGGCTGACAAATACTGTCTTCTGACCACCTTAAGTAACAATGCGAGCATGTTCAGGATGCAATTGTCCCCTCAAAATGCGAAAGGTTACTTTAGGATCGGAGTCTGAACTAGTGATGGGGAGTAAAGTAGTTGAGCGTATAGACCGCTTGACTTATCTCGAGAGTCTCATCAGTCCTGATAGTCCGGTGTGTGACGAAATCTCGGCATGGATACAGAAGGCTTGACTGGCTTCTGCCAACTTGTGGAGTAGGCGATATATCAGTCTGCTAACCAAAGGACGAGTCTACTGTGCAGAAGTCCATCCTGCCGGCAAGATTTGAGGATATTCTTAGGTTATTCGCGTTAGATCACAGGTGTCTTAGAAGCATTGCTCGTGTATCGTGGGAAAGCCAAATAAGCAATGCTGTTGTTAGAAAACGAGTACTAGTCAGGGCTCGCAAATCAATAGAGGAAGTATTGAAACTCCATCAGTTGAGGTGGTTAGGACGTGTTACGAATGTCCACCCACGGACTACCTCGACGAGCGATGGATGTCCTGTGGTGTAGGAGTAGGTTTGAAAGCTAGGGGCTGCCAAACAAAATCATGGCAGAAACGCATGAAGTCACTGACACCTGGTATGGGCTATGTTATTATGTGTACACTAACTGGTTGGTCCCCGCGAGATTATACCAGTCGATGGTTAGGGACCTTGAATGACATGGGTTAGATTGCTTGTAACGGAGCAGGTGCATCCATTCTGTGTTATCTTAGATTATATCCCTAATTCTTCATGACCTTCGCATTTCTGTGATGAAGTTTATCCCACTGGGTGACACTTTTTGAACACAATCTTCAGACTAAAATCTTTCCCCCTATCGCAAGCACTTCTACTTCTGCTACTACCATGGCATTTGAATTGACAATTTGATCTCGGAGTTTATGTGGTAGGTTAACTTGAACTGATGTTAAATCGTACCAAGTCCTACGTTGTAGCTTGCCGAGCAGTGTCCACGGCTCCCCCCTACTTCTATTTCCAAAGCTCTTTGAATGTAATTTGGAGTCTTCTATCGAGCCCCTCCATAGGTGGTTATTAGCAATATAGTCTAGTTGGGTTGATTTTGAGAGTCGCCATGTCAAAAGATCTTCTTCTGATGCTTAGAGTTAGTATTTGCTAGGGAAAGGTTATCTCAGAATAGCTGTAGCAGATGGTCGCTAATATCTGTTCAGTGAACTGACATTATGAGACCTACCTAGATTCGTTTCAGTTTCGCTTAATCTACGTGCTTGAGCATTAAAGTCACCAGACTTCATTAATATATCAGAGCGCATAGCTTTCTAGACGTCATTGGGGGGCTTGTTGTAAAATTTACAAACTACGTCATCGCAACTCATTGAAAACTACGAAAAGGCAGCAGTGAATTTTAATATACTTTTTTTGCCCTGTCACGATGAAATACTAAGTCTTGTGAGAATGTTTTACCTGCGCCTAATCAGTGTTTGACAGATTTTTTTGCAGTTTCAAACCTGAAATCACCTTGAGTTTCTCACCAATACCGAGACTCGATAAATTGTCTTTCCGTAAGCACTTACAATGGTGATGAATTGTTTCCTAGATATTTCGTTTATGATGAAAGTCTCGACTTCATAAAGCGATCACAGATGGTAGTTACTATAATACACCGTAATTAAAGCAGATATTTTTTTTATGAACGGTGAGATATGATAATAGAGGTAGGAAATACCTGAGTTATGAGACACTCAGTGGTAAATAAAATTATAAGAATTAGCGTATTAAATAACCCACTATCTGTTTGAATCTAAGTAAAGTTGCGTGTAAACGCTACCGTCAGTAAAAAGTATGATTCAAAATTATAGTATAATTTTGCAAATGAGTGAAATGCTAGTGTAAAAATAAGGAATCATATAACTGTGTAAGTTCAGAGTCATCTGATTTTCGATAAGTTATCTAAATAAATTTAAAGAAATAAAATAAGTATACATCATTTGAAGTAAGAAGATAAATTTTTATAGGATAATTTACATCAGTAAAATATATGGGTTGTAAATCTTAAAAAAATGAAACTGGAATAACAGAAAGTCCGGATACTATCCCAGCGACAAGAAATGCACCAGGCCAATTGATATGTTCAGCCAACAAAGCAAATGGATAACCAGCCAAGATAGCACCAACTGAAATACAAGGGAAATAATTTTAATGTAGAAGTGAGGTATTTAGTTCATCAGCGTTATCCAATAATAAATGTAATTCTGTAAGGTAACGTGAAGTGGTGCAAGATAAAATATGACTTTGGAGATAAATGACTGAAAACTTACAAATGGTACAACTCGCATAACAGAAAAAGTAAGCCTTCGGAAACAATTATCTGTTACTTCACTTTATCTACCAAACTACAATCAGGAACACTAGGAAAATATCAAAAGACATCTAATAAATTAAGTGGTTAATTCTCTATCACATTTCCAAAAGACTGCTTGAACACTAATCGATTAATTTAAGTAGGAGCTCTGTAGAGATAACCCAATTTCAAGTTAATTTATATACGAAACTAATATTGACAAAGAAATAACCAAATATCGAAGAGCTTTAGACAACTACTTAATCCTAATCTGGAGTCCCTAAGTAGTGTAAACACAGGAATCAACAAGGGATTGCATGCAGGGAACTTCAACATGGGATTGTATGAGCTTATCGAATTTGGTTGAACGATAAATTTTCCCTGTTTGGGAATCTGGTTTGAAGTGGAGAGGTTTACTACAATGTATCTATAAATACTATTACACTATTTAAGGGAACATTCAAGTTAATCTACATCAATTAGCTCTTGTGAAATTGAATTACTGATCAAAATGAAAACTTTAGTGTAATTTGCGATTTGGTACGACTTTGAATACAATCGGAGGTGTGGAGGTGATGGTCGATTCCCAGTTTCGCCTATATGTAGTCAGCAGAGTGGGCCAATTATTTCCACGTCGATCATATTTGAAACAGAACAAAACGACTTCAGATCATATCGAATACAAAAGATATTGTTGGGGAAATCAGCATACAGTGTTTCTATTGATAGCCTTACTTTTCAAAGGCAAGGAAATTAGCAAAAAAAAGAGTGAGCATTAGATTTAATCTAATGGTAAAGGCATTTAGTATTTAGCTGATAAGTTGCTCATTCGGTTCATGATTTGTCTACTTCAGTTTGAACGGTTACATTCAAAACTGTTAGGTAAATGCTTAAAAATAACGACAATCAAAACTCATGTTTTTCTTAACCTGGATAATTGATTCACATCTAGAGATAATTTGAAAATAATAACTTACCATTTGCACTCAAAGCACTTAATGCATGTGCCGTACCACTGAAAGCAGGTGGAGCAAGTTCAACAGCTAGAACACCACATAAAGCAATTGTTCCGATAACAGTTATACCAAGTATCAAACTGATAGTGAGCAGTATAAGCTAAAGTGAAAAGTGAGGAAAAAAACATTTATTTGGACTATCTAATGCTTCTCAAGACCTAATAAATCTTGATAAGTATAATCACAGGTTTTATAAAATGTTCAGTTTGAACAATCCCCTACTAATCATAGACTCATTATTTTATAGCTTAGATAGGAATTTCCACAGTTCTAATGGAAAGATGTGACCGAAAAAGGTGATGGCCACGCACTATCAAGAATCGACTGAAATTAGAAACTTTGGACCATTAGATTCTAACTCAGTGGTCTGAAAGCAAGTCGCCCACCACGAGTTTAATCTTTGGAAGGAAGTGGATGCGCACATTACTGATGAGTCCAATGCTACGACGACCAATGGTTGTCTAAGCTCATACGGTGATATACAGTAAGAAGAGTTTTTGAGTTTTGGGTAAGACTGATGGCTTTTTATCATAAAGTGATGTAAAGGGTAGTAACCAATTCTAGAGATACCATCAGAAAGGTACGATCCAACGAGATTGATAAAATGTTGAAAAAAAAATGAATAATTTAACTCCTGACCAATAGAAGTGTGATAAAAACTATGAGAAACAAGTGAAAAAGACGATCGTCATAATACTACTACTTCTGTATAAATAAAATTAAAATTTTTACTCCAGTAATTCTGTTTATGCAGATTAAAGAGCTAACAGATGAATTTTGAAAATTTCCCCGTGACGTATTTATTTAAACATGATCCTAATTAGGAGCAGGTTCATAATCTGTAACTAGTAACGGACAGATATGAAATTTCGTTGAAGATATAAGATTTTTTTAAACGATATATTTACATACAAATTTCGGCTCATTTTAGTTTTGCTTAGAGAGTAGTAAAATAATTTCATCACGATTAACAAGAAACTACTAACAGAGCAACGAACCAAGATAAGTATTTTTAATACTGCCAAATACATGGAAATGTACCGAAAGAACAAGAATCGAGTACAAAGAAATCAGTTGGCTTATACCAGAACGTGAAAAAGATATTATTTATATTTTTTTAATCACGTCTAATAATTCTAGTGATAAAAATCTATGCTCATTATAGAATGTTATTGAAAATGACACATTACTTTGTATTATTTAACAAATCTTCATTAAGGAATGTTTAGAGATTTTGTTTGTAAATAAACTCTAGTCAATAAAAATTGGACCACAATATCACGGTTCGTTGCTATCGATCGAGCCTCAAGTTGTCATTCATAACTTACTACTGAGAAGAAAAGTGGTAATTTCTTACTTAAGGTAAACGACTCTCAATAACTGCGTAGTATTATATGGTTTCACATAAAACATATACTTCTATTAGAAAGGACCAAAATGCATAACTCATTTATTAAAATGCCCTAGAACGATCGGAAGTGGAGAAGATTCGCTTTTTCTCCAGATGCTGTCATATGACCAAGCGTATTCGGCCAACATCAGGGAAGTCTTACGCACTTCCTTCTCATAGCAGGTGTTGTTTACGAAACTTGGGGGACAAAAGCGAATGACCGACGGTTTAGCCGGATTAGTGGATACGGAGGATACACCTAGGGGAAATGTAAAACCTTGATTCCAAACAAATGGTGGGCATTGGTTCCGAGATCCTGAGGGAAAAAAAATGCTGGTCACCGGTTACCACGAGGCCGCATCTCCTAACATTGTCCTACTGCTTTGCGGATTAGACTTATAGGTCAAAGGCTTGGGAAGTGACCTCCCAAGAAGACCAACTGTTTCAATTTGGGCATTCAGGAAGTATACCAGTCCACGTACAAATTGCATTGTGTGAGGAAAATTTTGATGTCCCTTAGTACCGATGTTTACGAGCTTAAATAAAGACAAATAATTAGTTTAAGGACTATGATCCACTGATTTTGTGAATTAGATTACTGACAGTTCGATGCACTCAAATTAAAGCACTGGTCAGATATTAAAAATTATATATATTATGTTGCATATCTTGATCAGTACAGAGGCATCGATCTATTATTGATAAAAGTCTTCAACAGAGAATTACTGGACAGATTCAGTAATTCTGTAGGTGATATCAGCAGGCTGGGTTCCGTAAGGATCGACAGTGTACCGACCAAATCGTAGGCGATAATACGGATCGTTGTAATACAACCAATTGAATGGAACTCCCCACTATACATAAGCCACTTTGACTACGAGAAAGCATGCGATGGCGAGGGCAGGATGACACTATGAAGGCTTATTTGACAGTACGATATAACTGAGAAGACAGTCAACATCATACTCAATTTTTATGATGGATTAAACAGAAAAATCATGCATAGAGGACGGCTCACAGACTCATTCCGAGTGGAAACCAGTATCACATAAAGTTGCTTACCCTCACTTTTCCTCTTTCTTTTGGTCAATGACTTGGTTAGGAAGACTTCGACATCTAAGGAAGAGGGTGGAATACAGTGGACAGCTCAGACGCGGCTGGATGATCTGGGCTTCGAAGATGACCTAGATCTTATATCCCACACGCAACAACACAATCAGGAGAAAGTGACTAATGTATCAGCAGCCTCTGAAGTGGTAGGTTTCAAAATACACAAAGGGAAAATTAAGATCCTCGGATACAACACAGCATGCACCAATCAAATAACGCTTTACGGAGAAGCTTAGGAGGATGTAGCAACTTATAAATATTTGGGCAGCACCGCTGATGAGCTAGATGGGTCTGATGCAGATGTGAACGCGCAAGTTGACATAGCATCAGCAGCACTTCTACGAGTGAAGAACATCTAGGACTTAAAACAACTGTCAACCAACACCAAAGTTGGAACCATCATCTAAGAGATACAGGATACTGAGAATTTAGATTCCAGCTGAGGAAGAAGTTCCGGAGAAGCGCTGGGCGTGGATAAGACACACAATGTGGAAATCACCTAACTACGTCATGAGGTAAGCACTAACTTGGGACTCTCAAGGTCGAGAAAAGAAGGAGACCAAGGAACACATTGTGCCGAGAGTCAGAGACCGACCGAAGCTGCTACCTTGACGTGGTGGTCGGGCTTGCCTATCGTGATGACCCGACCGAGCTATACTGGCTGGAACACATGTTCCTGCAGGTCCTACCATGCCAGGCAGGTCGATTGGAGAACGATGAGACTAAAAGCAGCTACCCAAGGTCTGAGGGCGAAGTCGTACTGCTGACTGCAGAGGGGTGTGACAGCAGTAAGGTGTTTCCCTCGGACAACCAGCATCTGCAGCGATGCTGCCTTCTCACAAGGAAGGAAGGGTTAGAAAAGGTCGGCCCTAAAAATGTCACACCTCCCCTACCTCACGGATTTCCGTCTCCTTGGGTAAGGGTGCCCACTAAGGGCCTTTAAGAACGGAGCTAATCCTCAAACAACGTTTCATAAAAAGGCCGTGCGTGACCGGCCTCAAGCAGTTGTCCCTTGGACTCTGCGGTCACGCACCAACACTAATCCATCTTCCTTTTCAGGTTCGTCAAGAAACAACCTTCCACGGTGTGGGCAGCCGCGAAGTGATAACCGCCCTCATACCCGTAACAGCACACGAGACCAAATTGTTCAAAATCAAGTCCTTCCTAAATTCCCTAATACCTCTCTTATCTCCACAACTAACTCTTCTCACATTCATTTATTACAGTGCACAGCTAATGCAAACGATGCAAGTTTGCGAAACGTCGTTCCTGGTCTCCTTAAACCCCGTTTCAAACTACATGTTGGAGCATTCAATGTACGGACATTGTGTCAAATAGGGCAACAGGCATCATTAGCTAGGACTTTAGAATCTCGTTCCATCGATGTGTGCTGCGTCTCGGAAACGCGCATACAGGATCCGAGTAGCATCACTCATTTGACCTCACCATGTCAAGATAAAGAAGCAGCTCGATTTACCCTTCGTGTATCCGGTAGCCCTGATGCTGCTTCTAGGGGCCTCGCCGGTGTAGGTATAGCATTGAGTCGTAGGGCAGAACAATCTCTCCTTGACTGGATCCCTGTAGATAGTCGCTTATGCGCCGTCCGACTGAACGGGACAGTAAGGACTCGGAAAGATAGGGACACTCGCCGTTGCCTCTTCGTCATATCAGCCTACGCCCCCACTGACTGCAGTTCAGATGATGTAAAAGATGAGTTTTACAAAAAGCTTTCGGACCTCCTCCAAAAAGTTAAGCGCTCTGATATAGTTATAATGGCTGGTGACTTCAATGCACAAGTAGGTAGACTGAGTGAAAATGAAAGACACCTAGGTGGATGTTACGGTCTCGCGGCTCAAAGAACAGACAATGGCGAACGGTATTAGGAAGCCGAATGTGAGTGAGACTATCTCGGAAAAGGATGGTCTTATCATCCATTCTCAATCTAGGAGGCTGGACCGATGGGCAGAACACTTTAGGGATCAGTTCAACTGGCCTTCAGCCACACTTCGGTTGCCCACGATCTCCAGTCATCCTGAATGGCGAATCGATCTAAGTCCTCCCAGTCTACATGAAGTTGAGAAAGCTATAGGAAATCTAAGGGGAGGTAGAGCGGCAGGTCCCGACAGGCTTACCCCTGAGATGTTTAAGAATGGTGGTCCAGTTTTAACGGTTAGACTGACCGAGATCCTAGGTAGAATCTGGGAAATGGACGTAATCCCATCTGACTGGTCTCAGTCGCTAATTTTCCCAATCTACAAGAAAGGACAAAAGTCCTCTTGTGACAATCACAGGGGAATAAGTTTAACTAATATAGTTTCTAAATTGTTAGCCTCGATTATACTTAGACGTCTAACTAGAGCTCGTGAAGAGCAGACTCGAGAAAACCAGTCTGGTTTTCGACCTGGACGTGGTTGTATAGACCACATCTTCACATTACGACAGGTCCTGGGACACAGACACACATTTAGACGCCCGACAATAGTCGTGTTCCTGGACCTTAAGGCGGCATTCGACTCAGTGGATCGTGAGGTTCTGTGGCAGTGTCTGTCATTGAAAGGTGTACCAAAGAAGTACATTAACCTTATACAAGCACTCTACTCGAACACCACTGGTCGGGTGAGAGCATATGGCGAACTGTCATCTGAATTCTCTACATCAAGTGGTGTCCGTCAGGGCTGCCCACTCTCTCCATTCTTGTTTAACTTTGTCGTAGACATACTCTTAGAGTTAACATTAAGCTCGTCAGATTTTTCAGGGGTTGACCTTTTACCAGGAAAGTCGCTTACTGATCCAGAATATGCCGATGACATAGTTCTATTCGGTGAAGACGCTGACAAAATGCAGAGTCTTCTGACTACCATAAGCAACAATGCGAGCATGTTCGGGATGCGGTTTTCCCCCTCGAAATGCAAAATGTTGTTTCAAGACTGGGTTGCATCGGCACCTGAACTAGTGATAGGGAGTGAAGTAGTCGAGCGTGTTGATCACTTCACTTATCTGGGGAGTCTCATCAGTGCTGACGGTCTGGTGACTGACGAAATCTCGGCACGGATACAGAAGGCTCGATTGGCTTTTGCCAACCTGCGTCACTTATGGCGTAGGCGAGATATCCGTTTGCAGACTAAAGGACGGGTGTACTGCGCAGTGGTTCGTTCCGTCTTACTTTATGGCTGTGAAACATGGCCGTTAAGAGTAGAAGATATTCGTAGGTTACTAGTATTCGATCATAGATGTTTAAGAAGCATTGCTCGTATATCGTGGGACAACCGAGTAAGCAATGCTGTCGTTAGGAAACGAGTACTAGGTAAGGATGGCAGATCAATAGATGAAGTGGTGAAACTTCATCAGTTGAGGTGGTTGGGACATGTGTTACGAATGCCTAACCACCGACTGCCTCGACGAGCTATGTTTTGTGGCGTAGGAGTAGGTTGGAAGAAAGTTAGGGGCGGCCAGACCAAAACATGGCACAAATCCATGAAGTCACTGACAAGTGGACTGAGTCATGTTGGTAGATGTAGACTACCTGGTTGGGGTCCGCGAGACGAGAGTCACCAATGGTTAGAGACCTTGAACGACATGGCTCAAAATCGTTTGCAATGGCGCAGGTGCATCCACTCTTTGAGCTCCCTCAAATCCTAATCTTCTGGATTAGCCAGCACCTCTACTTTTGTCTTTCTAACCTTATCTCACTGAATTATATTTTTTGAATAATATCTTCAAACCCTAGTCTTCTTTATTAACAATAATATCTCTACTATCTTTAACACTATGGGATTTGATTTGACATTTGCGTTTCTGTGCTAATAATGTGGTATGGCAACATGAACTTATGTACATACGTACGAAGTTCTACGTTGCAACTGACTGACTGACTGACCAGAGACAAACATGAAAAGAATCAATAGTGATTGGGTAGAACTGGAAAAATGAGCCCAGGACAGAGTTGGTTGGTTACCTATGCTCCATTAGGGGTATAACAGGCGTAAGGAAGTAATATTTTGATTAGCGCCCGATGCATAAATAATACTTCATCTATAATCTGGTATTCTTCTCTGCAAAGAACCGTAAGTTTTGTTCGGTTTTAATAATTAACAAAGAGCAGGTTATTAAGCAGTCATAACAAATAGTCACATCAGTAGATTATCAGCATTTTGTTAAATCTTTACAGTCTCAAATTCAAGTAGAAAAATGAAGCTGCAACTTGTGTGCTATTTATGATACCTTACTATATTACAAATACGAATATAAATAAAGGGAACAAAAAGTTTTATTTACACTTACCAATGAGGCATTATGATTTATAATCCAACTAAGAAAAATTAATGTACTACTAGCAATTAACATTTGTATAATTATTAATGGAATTCGATGACTTGGCCATGAAGAAATTCTCTAAGTTCAAAAAAAAAAAACACAACAATACATGAAGTAATAAGATAATAAACAAATCGAAGAACAAAAAGCAGATAAAGGATTCAACGTTGAATTTATTACTAATGACACATTATATCAGTTCGTTAAATTCCCAGTAGAATTATATATATATATATATATATATATATATATATATATATGTATATATATATATGTATATATATATATATATGTATATATATATATATATATATATATATATGATTTCAAAAAATTGTTCAAACTGTTCATTTCAAAGTACCTTAGAAATCACGTCCCTTAGACAGACAGATACAACGCAGAACTTCGTACATAAGTACACCAGTTCAGGTTGTCATACCGCGTCAGCACAGAGACGTAAATGTCAGTTCAAATCCAAGAGTGGTAATGATAGTAGAATTATTATAAGCAATACAGAAGATTAGGGAGCAAAGATATGATTCGAAAAGTATAATTCAGTGAGATAAATCTAGAAGGAGAGAGATAGAGATTATGAGGAATTCAGAAGGTTAGAATTAAAAAGCACACAAAGAGTGGATGCACATGAATCACGTCCCTTTGAAAAGTATAAACTTAAGTTTATCATTATTGTTACCTAGTTATTGATATCAACCTAGTTATACCTATAAACTGACTTCTTTTCTGGACGGACCAGTTTTTAGGATGTTAGTCATAATAAAATGAACAATTATTATCATGTCAACTTAAAATATTTTCATCTAACCTGTATTGTATGTTTCAGTCTTATTTAACTGAACTGATTCGGTAATGTGAAATGCGTGCTAAGTCATGATTTTCTGCAACGTGTAATTGAGGTAGTTAATAGCTGAGTTACTTCAACTGGATCTCTTATAGGGTTATTGCCGGTCGCAAGCCTGGATAAAGGAGGAGGATTGAATATGAGGTTATAGTTAACCCATTTCGTAGAAAGCCAACTTGCTAAAAATACGCTAACCCAGAACAAACAATTCAAATCATTTTAATAGACATAGGTAGTCATCAAATCACAGTATGAAAACAGTTCATTAAGTAATCTGGTCATTAGATTCATTAGATCAAGTTTGGAATATTTAACCAGAATTAATCAGATTATACAACTGCAAGCTTAAAAGAGATCATAATTACTAACTGGAATAAAAATTGTGGTTTGAAATCGTTTTTTACGATTGTAAGCATATTATAGCTAATAAATACTGATCATATGTTTAAACTAAGTTAAAAATGTACAATGTATATAGTACAAGGGAGAATTGTGACTTTTCAAAACATTTTCTCTGTAATCATGTGATAGATGTAGGACGAACAAACACATATGACAACATAACAACAACCATTTATTTAAATGGCACTAGAAAACATTTGTATACAACCCAAAATGTGATACATATTGAAATATTGATTACAACATGAACTATTTAGTGTAACTGAAAGGATATTTTGTACCCATGGTATATATATATATATATATATATATATATATATATATATATATAGAGAGAGAGAGAGAGAGAGAGGGTAGCAATAACTAACTGCACAACGGAGTTGACCAGTGACCCGTTTTTTAAATTTAATTCATATATAATATTTTTTATAGTTACAATCACAGAAATGGAGTGACCAAAAGGATTTTTTTTAATTTAGTCACACACCTCAAGAGAAAGTACACAAAATGTAAAACATTATCGATATCATGTTTGAGACAGAAAGTATTGACTTCGGATAGCTGCTTATCGAATTTTTTAAAAAAAAAATTATATTCACAGGCCTCATTTCGAATGTCCTTTGCTGGGTTAAATTGTCAAGAAATTCTTCTTTGACAGCCATTGATTTTCACTTGACGGTAACCGTGAAAGTAATCATTAAGTCAGCTGCTTGAAATTTATTTCTACTACATACATACAACTTGGATGAAAATGAGACTCGTTTTTTCAATAGGATAATTATATCAGAATTATTATTAGTTATAATAACTGAGTTTGGTCGAGGTAACAGCTATAAATGAGAAAAACCCTAAAATGAACTGATGTTTTCTCTTCCTCCCTTTCAATATTATTCATATTGTATATTTAATTAATATGCATTACGGGAGTTGTGAAGATTGTTAAGTTACACATTTTTTGAAACCATGAATTGATCAATGTTAGACCACCATTAGAAACCTGGAAGCACTGGACGGCCGTTTCGTCTTAGTATGGGACTCCTCAGCAGTGCGCATCCACCACTCCTGCATCCCGCAGGATTCGAACCCAGGACCTTCGGTATTGTGCGCGAACGCCCTAACCGTTAGACCACTGAGCCGGTATCTAACAGTGTTAATGTCTGACTTGATCAAATTCACGGGGTTGCGCAACTTCATACACAGTCTTCGGTAGATACTGCCTACACCCGAACTGGTTGAACCTTACTGGTCACGTCTTCCCACTAGAACTCGGAGAAGATTCCTCACGAAGCTAGTCACTAGTGAGCATAGATACCGGCTCAGTGGTCTAACGGTTAGAGCGTTCGCGCACAATACCGAAGGTCCTGGGTTCGAATCCTGCGGGATGCAGGAGTGGTGGATGCGCACTGCTGAGGAGTCCCATACTAGGACAAAACGGCCGTCCAGTGCTTCCAGGTTTCTAATGGTGGTCTAACATTGATCGATTCATGGTTTCAAAAAATGTGTAATTTAATTAATAGTTTATATCAAATTGATTTTATGTCAAAAAAGGGGATATTTATTTATTTTTTCCTTAAAAAGAGAATTTACAATTAATCCATTTGAAAAAATTGATTAGTTTCAAAAAAAATAAAACTTATTCAGATCTGAAATACTTGTTGTTAATTAATTCATTGTCATGAAATGATCACTTTGAAGTGGTAAAGATTTTCTAACGAAAGAGCTCACAAAACCTAGTTTCATATGAAGCTTAACAAATATTAAAGGCTAGTGATTAGCAGTATAATCAGAGAGATTACTGCTAATACTTTTACTACCTCTATTACTAAAAAGGATTTGAATTGACAATTACATCTCTGTGCTAATGTGGTAGTAAGGCAACTTGAACTGATGTACATACGTACATACGAACGAAGTTCTACGTTGCTGAATCATCATCATCATTATCAAAGCCTAGTAAACATCATACTATTGTCTATTTAACTTTTAAACACACACAAACTTAATCTTGTTATTAAATAATAGTAAGAAAATAAGTGTTACAATAAGTAAAACAAAAAAAACAATATTCAGCTATACGCCAAAACAAATAACTTCATTTTAACTTACAGAAAACATATTCAAATCAGCTACTATTCCAATTAACATAGATCCAATTATTCCACCGAATTCATAACTGCTAGCAACTAAATATGCTAAAAAGGAATAAATGAAAATAAATTCTAATTTGAAACAATATACGTTACATCAACCGAAATTTTTATAATAATTAATCTTTTTAAATGGGTAAATTAAGCATTTCATTTCAAATATTTTTCATTTTATAGTTTAATAACACTTATGAAACAGATTTGATGAATTGTAAACTTATGTGCTTTGTTTGAGAAGTTTATAAATGTTGGATCGTCAATTGAATACACAACATGAAGATTTAATGTAAGTGAATCATTACACTTGTTGTATGGAAGAATTGGAGATTTTAAAAGATCAGTTAGATAAAGGTGATTAGAACAGGATTGAAAATGTAATATAATAACTGAAAATCTAATCATTAAACCATAAAACTATAACTGTTACGGGGGGTTCAAGAGACCAGGAGTGACGTTTCGAGGACTCAAATCATTTGCAGCAGAGGTGCGGGGAGATAAAGGAATGTGAGTAGAGTTAGTCGTGGAGATAAGAGAGGCACTAGGGGGTGTGGGAAGGATTTGATTTTGACCAATTTTGTCTCTCTTACTGTTACGGGTATGAGTGCGGTTGTCACTTCCAGGCTGCCCACACCATGGAAGGTTGTTTCTTGAGGGACCTGAAAAGGAAGATAGATTAGCCTTGGTCTTAGAGACCTGGGAGTATGACCGCAGAACCCAGGGGACAACTGCCTGAGGCCGGTCACGCACGGTATTTTTATTAAAGGTTTTTAGAGTATTAGCTCCGCTCTTAAAGGCCCTTAGTGGGCACCCTTACCCAAGGAGACGGAAATCCGTGAGGTAGGGTGAGGTGTGACATTTTTAGGGTCGACCTTTTCTAACCCCTTCCTTCTTTGTGAGAAGGCAGCATCGCTGCAGATGCTGGTTGTCCGAGGGAAACACCTTACTGCTGTTACACCCCTCTGCAGTCAGCAGTACGACTTCGGCCTCAGACCTTGAGGAGGAGTTCGAAGGTGTATTTGGAAGAAGTCAATGAGTCGAGAAGTACATGATCTAAATTAACAAGCTTTTGCGAACCATGGCCGATAGCCTTCAGCTAAGCTGTATTAAGTCAAACTAGTGGTGTTATCACCAATGTTGAGGATTTAACCATTTATTTTGGTGATTTATCTACCACTATACGTCCATTGGTTGCATACGTTAAATTTCCTTAAGAGATTTCATTAAAATTTGTTGAAAGAGAGGGCTCACTGATTGCTGGTATAAATCATAATCCAAATAATCACTGGTTGTAAAAATATTGTTAGATTAGTTTTGAACTTATAATGTATCACACTTATATGACAGTTAACGATTATCACTTTTTGTATGTAGATAATTATATTTCGTTTTCTTTTTACATCAGTAACTTCGGGTTATTTCACTAACTAAACATGAACTACATTTTTAGTTTTAAGACTAAACTGAAATACTATCAATATTTGCAATCAAAACTTGAGGAAGTCGACACTTACTGTTAGATTTAAACTAGTGTCACCACCAGTCGAAAACATGATCACATTATCACTACTGAGCTATTCATGAAGAAACTGGCTCCTCTTAGGAGTTTGAAATGTTCATACTAATTTATAAGAGATCAGGAATAAGATTGTTAAACAATTTAATATGATGACCGTTCACTTAAGCAATCGATTAAATTTAGATATAAATTCAGTTATTAACTATTTTAATACAATATCCTATTATTTTCTGATAGTTTTTGTTAAGTATTTCACTGTTTTTAAATTATAATCATGTAAATATAATTATTAATTATTAGAAAGAGAAATTTCCAATAAAGTGATATTTTTTTCGTTAGTTTATTATTCATCAGAGGATAGATTGTGTCTTTCTAATGGTTGAGGGTGGGAGTCAAGAGCATTGTAGACATAGTGTCGAATACTAGTCATGGGTATTCATTAGTTGTAGTTACTCTTGCATAGGAAAGATCAAATTATACTAGTAGTAACAGGGGAATTTACAAGCTTTCGTTTAAGCGATATTTAGTCGAAGCTATCACACATTCACTATTGATCAAGTTATAACCGTAGTCGATCGCTCCGTAATTGTAGTAAATTAAATTTTAGACCGTTTAAGCAGCCGTATAATTACTGAGAATAAATTATAATTGTGAAAAAAGATACATATTAAATAAGATCAACTTAAATTTAATAAATTTGTTTTACTGATCAAAAATAATTAAGCACTGTGATGACAACAAAATCAAATATATACACGAACCGGTATTTTGTGAATAACCATATTTATTATTTAAAAGCATAATTCCAATCCAATCACCTATTGCATAACGTAAAAATGTACTGCACATGTGAAGACTAGCAGAGCTACCCAATAATAAACGTTGTTTTGGACTTAAAATATGAAATAATTTTGATATTTGATGAATAATATTCACTTTAACAGGTTTAATTGTTTCATTCTTATCGTTGTTTTCAGTGAATTCGTTGTCTTGACAGTTGTTAGATAGTTGGTTAGTTTCTAAAATGTAAAAATAAACCCGATGATAAACACGTGAGATGATCACCCTAGTTTTCAAGAAAAATTTGATCATAACAAAACTTTACTATCAATATATGATTTAATGACCTAACAATCACTCAAGAAACTTTCTAGATGTCCCAGTACGAGTGAAAAGTAGTGTACTTAACTTTAAGTCATACTTTTTTGTGTGGCGACTGGTGATATGATCTAGCTGCCCAGATAAAATTATTTGAGGCGAAATTAAAATTAGAAAAAACCATTCAGCTAACAGATTTCCGAGAGCATGAAGTTGAACTTTTATCAAAACGCTACTTATAACTGCTTGTTTGTAATGAGAGAAAAAGCAAACATGAGTAGTTAGTGAAAAATAGAGCCATTTAGTTGCTCATAAACACTGATGCTATTTAGCAGCAAACTTTCTTTTATGACTACATTTCGTTCTTCTAGTAGTAGTATTCTTGTATGATTGAATATTGGGGAAACAATTTGTAAGTTTGTTTGAAGATTTACTTTAAGCATTGTTGCATTCCTATCTATTTATATAAATCCGTCCACAAGTAAACTTATTTACATAGTTCTTTAGTTGTTTTTTTTACCTACGAGTTATCTTTTTCGTCAAAAAAACTGATTTCAATCATATTACAATGCTTGATTATGGTAAAGGTAGGTGGTGCCATATATTAATCTAAAAAAAAACTATTATTATCAAATACAAAACTATGTTAAGTTATGCATTATGAGAAAAGACGTTTGTTTTCACCAAAGATATGGTATTATATTCAGAATGAATGTGAATATTTAAAATTCACATATATTTTCAATGATAATATCTTTTTTAATCATTTAGTGAGTGTGTACACATTTCTTCACTGTATTCACATAATATTTTAATAAGTTGCTTGTGTAGCTGAAGAGAATTAGGTTAACGTAAATATGGAATGTATTCGGTACTAGTTGATACTTATCATAATGATAAACGTATTCATTTGATGCATAAACGGATTTGATAGGCTCTGAGATGATTAAATTGTTTCATTAGAACTTTAAGAGAAAGAGATTAAATTTATCTAATAATCATCAAGTCATAGATTTCGGGGCCAAAATTAATAACTTTTAATGCTACTGACAAAGTAGCATGACTCAGGTTCTAAAGTACTCTTTGTTTTATAACAAAGTTGTGTTTCCCATACCATAAGTGTGAATTTTGTAATTTTCACAAAAGGGTTTCTAATATGTATACATAACAATTAAGATTGATGTTTGTAAATCAATGCATTTCAAATGAACAACTATTAAAATCTTAGGCAGTATTTCTATGAATAAAATTTTTTTAAAAACAAAACAAATTACAACAGAAAATTCAAGTTTTATTGGAATGATTAAAGTAATGACATGAACTCACTTTCATTACAATACCCAGCTTGATTACATGTAGTATAATCGTGTTGATCCAATTTTGAAGTAGACATTAGACTTTGACAAGTATCATTATAACCTCTATGTTTTATATCTGAGTTAAGATTCTTCTGCAATGATTGGTTAGAAATTGTGAATTCAGAAGAATTTGGTGTAGTTTTGGAATTGATTTTATCTTGTCTGTTAATCGTTTGTAAACGTAGATAAACAGTGAGAAGTAATGCTGATATTATACAACATACAGCTGTAAAAAGTAAATAAATACCCAAATTTAAAACAGCTAATAACATATAATAATAATAATAATAATAATAATAATAATAATAAGGTTGAGCATTGTTATTACAACGTTTCGTGAACCCGCATCGTTTGCATTAGCGGTGCAGGTTGATAAAGGAATGTGGGAAGAGTTTGTCGTGGAGATAAAAGAAGTATTAGGGGGTGTAGGAAGGATTTGATTTCGACCAATTTGGTCTCGAGTGCTGGTACGGGTATGAGGGCGGTTATCACTTCCAGGCTGCCCACACCGTAGAAGGTTGTTTCTTGAAGGGCCTGAAAAGGAAGATAGATTAGCGTTGGTCTGAACGACCTGGCAGCGTGACCGCAGAGTCCTAGGGACAACTGCTTGAGGCCGGTCACGCACGGCCTTTTTATGAAACGTTGTTTGAGGATTAGCTCCGCTCTTAAAGGCCCTTAGTGGGCACTCTTACCGCCGGAGACGGAAATCCGTGAGGTAGGGTGAGGTGTGACATTTTTAGGGTCGACCTTTTCTAACCCTTTCTACCTTGTGAGAAGGCAGCATCGTTGCAGATGCTGGTTATCCGAGGGAAACACATTATTGCTGTCACACTCCTTTGCAGTCAGCAGTACGACTTCGACCTCAGACCTTGGGTAGCTGCTTTTAGTCTCATCGTTCTCCAATCGACCTGCCTGGTATGGTAGAACCTTCAGGAACATAAGTTCCAGCCAGTATAGCTCGGTTGGGTCATCACGATAGGCAAGCCCGACCACCACGTCAAGGTAGCAGCTACGGTCGGGATTGTTATTACATGGAAAGTTATATTCCATCAATAGACTTCAAGAGCCACTAAGGACAGTGAGTTGAAGAGTTTTACTGACCTAATAGAAACTTTTATCATATTAGCTTAGAATTTGCTAATAAAAAGAACAGTCGACTTCGATTCCATAGTATACACAACGTCATACACTTTTGATTTTAAATGAAATTAAAACTCGAAAAAATTCAAATGCTTATATAGTAGACATATTGCTGATTACAAAATGTTTTAAAAATTTAGTGATTAACATATTCTAGAATAACCAGATCAGAATGTTACAGTTATTCATGAAGTTTCTCATTGATAATCTAAACATTGTGAAGAAGTGGATCATTCCCGTCCTTTTTTTCTAGTTAAGCTACTTTGATTTTGAATAGTGGCAGCAGTGACTTGAATTCAGTCAGTCAGTTGCAGCACAGAACTTCGTACGTATGTACATCAGTTCATGTTGCCATACCACATTAGCACAGAGACGCAAATGTCAAATCAAATCCCATAGTGATAGAGATAGTAGAGGTATTAATGGTAATGAAGAAGAATAGGGTTCGAAGATATTATTCAAGAAGTATAATTAGGTGAGATAAGGTTAGAAGACAAAGGCAGAGGTGCTGACGAATCCAGAAGATTAGGATTTGAGAGAACATAAAGAATGGATGCACCTACACCATTGTAAACGATTTTGAGCCATGTCGTTTAAGGTCTCTAACCATCGGTGACTTTCGTCTCGCGGACCCCAACCAGGTAGCGTGCATTTACCGACATGACACAGTTCACTTGTCAGTGACTTCATGGATTTCTGCCATGTTTTGGTTTGGCGGCTCCTAGCTTTCTTCCAACCTACAGTGACTTGAATTGACATACTATGCGAGACATGATATTCTGTTCATCTGGCGATCGTAAATGTTGTCATAATTCTGATTAAAGTTACAAAATAAAGTCACTTCATAGGTCATATACTTTTCATGAAGTCCATTAATTAGGCTATGATTTCTGACAACACAATTAACAATAATAATTTTTTTTCCATAAAAATTGTCGTACTATGTTGGAAAAATCATGGAACCACTCAAACTCTAACACGTGGGACTTGGGTTTAAACTTTGTTCCACTTACTTTGATCATTCCCCAACAAAAAATTTGGTTTACAGTCATGTAGGAAACTTTTACGAGTTTAATGAGTCAGAATTTTTATGTTTACGTGTTAATATGAATACGATGAGGTTAATAGGCCTGTTAATTTGTCAGTCAGTCAGTTACAACGTAGAACTTCGTTGAGTAAAACATATCCAGAAAAACAGAAAACAGTTTGGCGATAAGGTAAAATAAGCACATAGTTAATAAATTGGAGTTCATCTACACTTAATAACAGTACCAGGTACAATAAATATGGGAAATTAAAATGAAGCAAGAATTAATGACGAGATCTTGATATATAGTATACAGATTTTATCTGCAACTGCATAGTACAAGTCAAAACTACCGAATGATTGAATTGCTTGATAAATGTTATAGATGTGAAAATCACTGGACAATGTGACTTTTTTGAATTACTGGGCTATCATATCATGTATCAGTACATGAATTTAAAATTGAATTGTATGATCTTTTATTCCTCGGAATATCTAGCATTATTTAGTTTAAAATAGTAGCATTACTAGAGGTTCGTTCTTCAGTATCATGAAGACGGCGTACATGAAAAATAATATAAATTATATATAGAAAAGTTAGAAAGCTGCCGTCAGATACAAAGTAACAGTTGATGGTGAGATTAATATAAAACGCGTATACTAGCAATTTGAAAAGCATGTATTTACCAACAAAAATGAACGGGGCTCTCCAAGCTAAATCACCAAGGAATACTGTTGAACATGAAGCAATAAAAATCGATATCCAAGAACCCATACAACCAGCTAGGTTAGAAGACGCTGATAGTAATCCCCACCAAGTGGCTAATTCTTGAGGAGCCACAGACTAAAAATAATTAAAGTAAAATTTAAGCAACAAGATAATTTATGTTCTTCGAGAAAAATTCTTCAAACTTAAAACACTATGATTAGATGATGAATATGAAGAACTATACGCATTTCAAACCAGTATTAGAAATTTACTTAATTAATTTATTTCAAGTTGAGTAACTGTAAGTCATCAAGTTTTTGTACATAAAACATTTATTTGCTTTACTGAATAGGATAACATTTTCATGTGTAGCTTTTCTACAAAACCAAATAGATTACCCGATAACACAGAAACAAAGATGGAGACTGAATAGACAAATAATGAAAGTAAAGTCAATACAGAGAAATCAGAGAAGTTACTGTAGTGTGGTATCATTCATAGCAAACAGTGTCTTGATGACTTAAGTCTAGAGATACTCTTCGGATTAATGGTGGTTCAAACAGTTCTTTCAATCACTGGGTCTTAAGTTCGAACTTTATTCTGCCTACTTTAGTCTGGGAAGCTAAGTAGTATCACCAACACTCATATAGACCGTGTAAGAGCTAAGTAAGCTAAATTACAGGAATACTCTTTGGCTAGTATAATCTCTATTGATAGAGCATGATTCATACTTGTAACTCAATGTTCAGCCACTGGATGACTCGAAAAAGGAACAGTAGCTTCATACATTCATAAAATGATACTGATATATAAGACGGTTACATGAATCTCCAGTTATTGCTTTGTAAATGTTACAGTAACTAATATGATATATATATATATATATATATATATATATATATATATATATATATATAATGTCTGGATCTAATTTCGTACTAACGGCTTATGTTCAACTTGTTTCAATGTGAATAATAGTTCGTACTCATTAAGAAGAGTAACACATAGTTTGTAAATATAAATGTGGTGTCAAGGTACTCATAGCGACGGATATTTGAAATACGTGAAATTATAGATTTTGTGCCAACTTACAATACGTAGTGTTTTTGATATGGCTGGCCAACTAGAACCAAGTGATAATCCAGTTAATCCATAGAATACCAACCAAACTGTTTGATGTGATGAAACTAAAGAAATTAATACTAGATTTAGTGATAAACATGTTGGAACATATCTTTGGATTTTATTATATTTACTAAATAGATATAATAAAATATTATACAAAACTAGATTTTTCTATTTTCTATTTATTGATAATTAATAAACTTTGAAACAAAAAGGCATTAACAAATGTCTCACAATATGTACAAGTCAAGTGTGTAAAAATTATAACTTACCTGATAGAAGAAAAAGTGAACCTGAGGCTGAAATAAGTGAGTAAATAAAAATTTGTAGTGGATTCACGTGATCCATAAGAATCCCACCAACTAATTTGGTAACTGTATAACCTAAGGTTTGAGCAGTAATTATGGAACCTGAAACGAAATTAAAAAATATATTCAACTTATTTGAAAGGTAGTATACATAACATGTTGATACTGTTCGAACTGATTAGGTAATGGGTACATATGTACAGAAACTAGTCTAAAGTGTTAACATTTAGTAGTATGTATCCTATTCTATGAGCGCTAGATTATATCTGAAAGGATGATAATCGACGCTAATATTAGATCACTATTCATAAGCTCTAAACTAAAGCTGACAAGAGATTTGGTGGAAATATAATAAATCACAATCACTTTATAATGAAAATGATGCTACTGAATAAAACACAGTATATGCCTACAACGCACTGGTTGAAGGATAAGTAGTTGGACAACAGCAACAAAATTGTACTTACATGACAGTATGAATATTTTAAAACTTTACTTACCTAAATGTGTATCTGCTTTAGCTCCTTTATATTCCATTGGGATTATAGGGTAAACGTTCTGTATGGCTCTTCGAGCAAGCGAAGTGAAGAAGTAACTCCAAAACAATAAGATCAAGAGCCAAAGTGGCCTTTTATCAGTTACATTCATGATAGTATAAAACAAATGCAACTGCTAAATCAAAAAGTGGAGTGTTCGTCTTGCAATCAGTTGGACTAAACTAATAAAAATGGCAAAAATATGCAACAAACTATGAGGCTTTAGTGCTAAATCTTAGATTATGAACAAACGTTGACATAACTCAAAAATCATTGAAAGAATACTAAAACCTAAAAGAATACAAAAGGTTTTGTATAGTTTATCAATTTTTTTAAGGCTTATGATCGGTTAGCTCATCTTAATGTTGCCAAACCTTTAGATGAAGTAAAAACTTTAAGGAGTTTTTTTAGGATACTTAGTCAAACATAAAATAATCTTATACATAGTTTCTTATCATACTAAAAACCTTCCTCAGAGACTTTGCTGAAAAACAACGCAGTCAGACGACGTGAAGAACTCAAACAAAAGATGTGATTTACTTCCATATCCGTACACCACTTTTCGGGAGAAATTAGGGAGAAAACAGGAACGAAACTCACTGATTGGTGGTGTATACAAACTGAATCAGAAGAAACATCTATGTTTTTATTTTTACACCTTGTCACTTTCACTCACATAAGTAGCATTGAACCGCTAATTTGTCGCTAACAAATAACCGTCGTCGCTTCAGTCAACATTTGGAAGAACAGGTTGATAAAATTCAGTCCTGATAACTGCTAAACATCCTTGCTCAGTGTATGTGCCATGTTTCTTTCCAAGAACCAAGTCTGTAGGGATTGAAAGCATGCTATTGTTAGCCCTATACTTAATTATGGAAGGATATCACGTTTAACTACCAACTTGTCAGTCAAATATGCATGATATCTGAAAATAATATAACAAGATGAGTTACTAAGGCATGTGTCATAAAGTCGGAGAATTATGGGTTTTGGAATCAATATTTATGTTCAACTGACCTGAAAAATGAGAAAGAGTACTGTAAAGTAAACCAAGATAGTCGTTTGTCTGTCAATGTAACACCCGTAGATTGTGGCAAAGTATTTGGTAAGGTTTCACTTAGGGCTTATGCAGCCCTCTAGTTTCGAAATAAGAGGTGCCATACAAGCATGAGAAAAGAATCCTCTCTTTGGTCGAAGACAAGGAGTGAGGGTAAGTTGGACACTATTTGGAAGGAAACCCGTTAAAAGTTGCATACTTCAAGACACCGTCTTAGGTTTTCTATTTCCTCTTCTCTACGCTAATGACCAAACTAACTGATTCTTAAGAACTTTTTTGCGGATGATATTAAAGTATGGATAACAACACGTAATCAGGCTGATTATTTTGGTTTCCAAGCTGATTTAAAAGAATTAGCTTGGTGGTCCCACACGACTTGATATCCCGACATGACTTAGAGTTTGGATACTGTTTCTCGAAAGAGTGTGCTGACTCACACTGGACATACAGATGTTTATCAGAATAGTGTCATTGGTTTATCGCTTCTTCAGGTCCCAGAAAAAGAAAACCTACGACTGACTGAAAGTTATGAATTGAAAATAACTGCACATTGTTACACATTAGCCTCCAAAGGTTTTCGAACGTTTTTATCGCTCTGCTAAGCTTAAAAAAGCTGAGGCAAATGTATGCTTCGGTTTTTATATCGCAATTATGTGAGACCGCTTGCAAAATTGTATCTAAGTTGCTATTTCATATCTTATTAAGAATGCCAAAGCTCGAATGTTCATGAGGCAACTAAACTAGTTATAAGTCATCCTGGGGAGGGTGAATTAAGCACATGAACATTTTCTCTTTATGTAATTGGAGAACGCAAGTTGTTATTACATTGGGATAAGGTATCTTAAATAATTATTTAGCTATTAACATGTCATATCATAATAAAAGACCTTAATAGACTTATTAGATAATCAATAAAGTGATTAGTCATAGAAAGATTATTAGTGAAAATAGTAAACTCACAGAACAATTGTGGTTTTGAAATAAGCATTTGGAGGTCAAACTGATGTAAAACGATTGGTGCGTTGACCTCGGCAATAAGTAGGCGTTCATAGAAGCGGTTAATTCAAGATGAATTCAATATCCAATATCTTTTTTCAGGAGCAAGTGTAGACCAACTGATTTAAGTGCGCTTGATTCTTGTTTTTTCGGTACGGTTCCAGGTTTCGGTGTCAAATGCATGATGTTCTAGCCACTCAACCGTACTAATTTTAGTCAACTGGTTTCAGTTCAGTCACACTATATTTGATAACTTAAATGCCAACGTAACGATGAATGGTATGGAATGAATAGTCGGTGAAATAATTCATTTCAACGGCATAATCAGTCGGGTTACTTTCTAGTTCTGCTTGAAAGAAGTATATAAGCTAATCGAACTCCTCTCATAAATAATCCTTTGTACAACATGCGTAAACCAAATAGTTCATATCGGTACATAAAAATAATGAGCTTGACCCACCTCTACAGAATATTTACTTTAGTTGTGTTTGTTAAAAAACATGGATTTTGGCTAATGGATATCTTTCCAACAACATGTTTTTGCATGTGGATGCGGTGAGTTAGGATCAGTTGCTTTTCTACTGGATGTTTAAAGTGCCAATGATCAACGTTCTTCCGAAAACCATAAAATTTCCAACCTAACACCACAACCTGAACGTATAAAAAGTGCAACAAATTTTTTCCTTTGGCTCAGATATTGAAACTCCTATTTTAGACCTTGGATCTCAGCAGTAGGTGGTGAGCTTAAGGTCAATTCCATTTAACCGTTTACAACCGTCCTTGCACAGAAGAGTATATTGCTGCCGATCCAGAGACAATAGGTGACGTCGAACAAAGGATTGTATATAAGGAAATTCTTAATGAGTAACACGACAACGAGTAGCGATCAATATTTGATTTCATGTAAGCTTCGCAAGCAGCCTACCAAGGACAATGTAGCAAAAATAGGGTCACAGTTATATCCAGGTCACTATTTGATTACTAAATGATTGTAGATACTAAACATATTCGAAACATTCTGCCGAACATTAGTCCTAAACACATAAATTAAATTATCTGAAGAAAATGCGAAATATCTGTGATCATCACTCGCCGATAGCAAGCAGGTACTGTGAGGTTCGATCGTCAAATGAACCCACCAGTGACAGTGTTAACTTCCACATTCAATTTGGTTCTCTTTCACTTTGTTACTACGCCTTACTTACTAATCATAATCTTTAATGCTTGTCACAAACGACATTGAATTTGTCCATTTATTTTTCCTGTCCTCCAGCTGCTATTCAGTATGTTTTCTACGTCACTCCTTTTCCTCTCTAATAGACTGTAATAACTTCTGTTCCCTTAGAGGTTTATCTGCAGGCAGTTACATCCCACATTTACCAGGCTTTTCCAGAAGTAGTAAATATTAAATAAATTTTACGAACTAACAAATCTGGGTAAATATTAAATAGAAAGAACTTTAATTTGAAGATTTTCACAGCTGTAGTCGGTTGTAACCGATAGTTTCAGGCCAGTAGACAGTTACGCTCTGCCTTTGCATGGAAAATCTAAGTGTGAACTTCATGAAAGTATTGAAACGCTTCAAAGATGCATTATGTGACAATTATGCGACAGACACTAATGTTATGGACTCAGTAATGTTTGAATTCTTAACCGTAGATTACTGGTTCAGGAACTCTATGAACAACCATCGCGGCATGTTGCTAGGTTTATATTGATTTACTAACGGCTGTTCTTACCGACTGCGCACACTGGTTCAGACTTGGCGTGATTACACCTCGGATGCAGCTAGGCAGTTTATACTTCGAAGATGCTCTAGCTCTTGCATCTCATACAACCTAATCACACTAGACGGGTAAGCTTCGGAGAACTTACAAACGTTAACATATCCGGGCAGCATCATTGACGATGATAGGACACGCCATGCAGACGTCTTCTCAATGCACCATATGGCAAGCTCTGAAGTGGAATCCTCAAGGCGAATAGAAAAGAGGGAGACCAAGGAGCAGACTGAACTGAAAATTGAAGACATACATGAAATTAGTGTGTAGTAACTGGATAAAATTGGAATTGAGAGTGGAAGATAAAGTTTCCTGGCGAATTCTTGTCGTCAGCCCGTGCTCCGCTAGAGGTTACAGGTGTAAATATGTTAATCAGTAAGTGTATATTGGAGAAATAGTGCAGTTGTGGTGGCCGATTTTGACGTGTTCTTAACCTTTGTGATTAGCTCGTACAGACAATCGTTAATAACTGGCGTCTGACGGTTTATAAATCAGAAGGTGAACACAAAGTTTTGAATACGTGTACTTTTGACACACCACAAATAGAACAGCAGACTACAAGCGCTGTAAGATAAAATCGTCATGCGAGCGCCGGAAAGCAGGCAAGCGAGTGAATAGGCGAATGAACGGATGAAGTGATGTGGAGAAGGCTAGTGAGCCAACTCCAAGAGATAAAGCATGACTAGGAATTTATAGTCAGACAAAAATAAGACAGACATGTAAGCGAGTAGGCATGCACAAACATGAATACAAGCGACGAATGAGTGACAAGGTAAAAAGACAAGTGGGACAAGTCATGTGAGCTAGACATTGAATGACTCACTACAAAGTGGCGCAAGAAATGTTAAGTTGTTATAATGTCACTATCTGAAATCATGTAAGAGTGGATTCTAAATCAAATAAGTTACTCCGTAAACCTTATTTCTGGGAAATAATTAATCCGTACACACTAACTTTTCCATTGTTTTGAGGGTAAAAGTTTAATGAGGGGGCGAGGGATACATTCCGTCTAGCCTTTCGCTATTGGCTGATATCAGCTGTAATACCTGTGTGTTTAGGGCCGGATAATAGCAGTTATTTTAGAGTTTTGTGTTAGGATTATAAATTAGTGTTAGAGTCTTTATTGTGAACTGAAATCAATTAAAATGTAATGATGCACTGCTGCCTTTTATTTGCAACCTTAGAAACCCTAGCGTTGATGTAGGTAGTGAGTAACTGCAAAGGCAAGAATACTGAAGGGTTAGTGAATTGTTTAACTAAAACATCCATCATGCGGGCAGCATGCCGGTCCTCGTTATTGTCAAATAACCTGAGTCAATTACTCGCACGCCTTGGACTGGCCCATCTGGCGCTGATCACATTGTTTCTTCTATTAACTCCTGTTATTACATGTCTGTGGTAACGTCTTAATCTACCCGGCCGTAGAAGTAACTACATTACCTGAACTCGACAGACGATTATGCTGCTTCAGATGATGACAATTAATTGTGAATTCGATGTAGCCCAGGAGCTTATAACACTCCTTTTCAACTTGAGTTGACAGCATTACGCAGGTTACTAACTTTGGCAACCCACAATAATTTAAAGTTGCAGAGACAAGCTGGAATATTGACGGAATGACAACATTTTTCATTTCACAATCTGGGTTAATACAGGATTTCTTTTAGGTTAACTTGAGCACCATGTCTGAACGTTTGGTTTTATGGTTAATATTTTTGCCAAGTTAAGGTAATTCAGAGATGAAACATTGCTAGATCCCATCTAAACAACAGAATACAGAATGCAACTAGCCCATCGCTCTCGGTTTTCATTAAAGATGCAGGGCGTTTCACCTTGACTTTCGTCGGTTCACTTAGTCATCAGCGTAATATATTATTGATCAAAGGGCCTAGAGAATGACACTACGGCGTGCCTGAGAAGATAGTCAACATCATACGGAATTCTTATGATGGATTAAACTGCAAAATCGTGCACGGAGGTCAGCTGAAAAACTCGTTTGAGGTGAGGGCTGGTGTCAGGCAAGGCAGCTGGACAATCTGGACTTCGCAGATGACATGCGCCAACCAAATCACTCTTGATGAAGAATCTTTGTAGGAAGTTAACACCTTAACATGTCTTGGCTACGTCACCGACGAAAAAGGTGGATCGGATGCAGATGTGAGGGCGCGGATCGGCAAAACAAGGGCCTCATTTCTACAAAAATATCTGGAACTCTAAACAACTTTCAACCAAAACCTAAATCAGGATTTTCAATACAAATGTTAAGACAGTTCTACAGTTCGAAAAATACTTCGGATTCTTCGACCAGACACTATAAGCAACAACCTCCTGTGGGAGAGAACAAATGCGATCCCAATGGAGGAGGAAATCAGGAAGAAGCGGTGGGAGTGTATAGGACACACACTGCGAAAAACACCCATTTCCGCCACAAGACAAGCCCTCACTTGGAACCCTCGAGGTAAAAGGAAAAGAGGAATGCCAAGGAACACATTACTCCGAGAAATGGAGACAGGCTTGAGAAGAATGAACAAAAACTGAAAAGAACTAGAAAGGGAAGGCCATGACAGAGTTGGTTGGAGAAAAATGATGTGCGGTCTACGCTCCATTCGGGGTAACAGGCATAAGTAAGTAAGCAATAAACCTCCATAAGCAAATATTCTAGGGTTAGGTTTAATTAGTATGAATGACTATGTGACTGGGGTTCAGTGTCCTAAGGGAACTAAATTTTTGCTGATAATTCCTCGTCAGTGATAGTGATAGTACTTATTGGAACGAGATTCGTCTAAAAATTACTCAGACATCTCGGACCTGGCAAATCCGACGATACAACCTATAGCGGTAAATAAATCCTGAAGGTAAATAGTCCTACAATTTTCCACATTGATGCTAAACTCATTAGTTTTACTGGACACACCGAAACTGAAGGCGATCGGTTATGTATTCGCACCAGATCACCATTAGGTACGCCGTGCCTCGAATCTTTCACAAAAACTGTCTGGCTTAGACCACTCATTTTCCTACATTTCAACCAACCTTCAAATACACCTCCAATTTCTTTCATTCTTGGATTCCGATTTGACAGAAATTTGGTGTTTTCTAACAGAAAGATGTTATGGGAAAAAGCGTTGTCAAACTCCGAATATCAGTAGCATTCATAAGAAGATCTCTTGCACCTTCAAGGGAGACTATTGCATTCTTAAATACTAGAGGCAAAATCTTTCTAAAAGTACATTTTCAGTGCAAGGGGATGGTTGGTCAAAAGTGTGAAACCTAGGTCCAAACATTTTTATTTGGCTCCTTTTCTCACCTGCACGAATATTCTCAGAAAGTTTTGAAACTCAGGTTTAATAAATTGAATTTGTATGTTCATTTCTCAACCTTAGTTATGAATCATTAGAACTTTCATTAAGAAGGTATGATTCCACAAACTTCTGTAGTAATTTGCTGGTGGAATTAGATACTTAAAGCACAATAAAATTATTAAAGTAATTCAGGTGCAATCGACCTTGGTCTTTAATGTCATCTCATTAGCGTAAAACACCGAGAATTTTGGAAAAGCCATATTCGAGACTAATAAAGTTAATCACAAAATTACTTCTTATCACAGTATTTCACAAACTTTCATTTGAAAACAGATACCTGAAACCATGTCTAAGGAGCAAGAATCGAGAGCAAAGAAATCGATTGGTTTATACTAGCTCACGAAAAAGATATTGGATATTGGAGCACCCGTCAGTCTAAACATTTTCTGAACGGCGCACACGTGAATTAGAGAATGACGTTATCAGCTGTCTCGGATGAAGCAGAAGCATTTAAAGAAGAAGCCAACAAATATTTCAAAGGTAATGCGTAGACAAACAGAATTCTCACCTATATGAACATGTGTTTACCGATATTTCTTGACTGATAGATGGAGACTATGATAAAGCAATCGAAGCATACACAAAGGCAATAGAAATTCGAGAAACTGCTGTTTATTTGGCTAACAGAAGCCTCGCTTATCTTCGCACCGAGTGTTTTGGTTATGCTTTGGATGATGCTTCTAAAGCCATAGCTTTGGATAGCTCCTATGTGAAGGTCTGCTTTCCGTATCTTTTTATTTATCTGTTTAGGGTTATTATCGCAGAGCATCTGCACATATGGCATTGGGTCAGTACAAGGAGGCGTTGGCAGATTACGAAACCGTAAGTACACTGGGTATCCTATAAGCTTGATATATAAACATTTATCACTGATTTATGTGAACTTTGATGTTTTTATAATAATATTTACCATTGCTTGGTTTAGCAACATCTTGTAATTGAGAAATTCGCCTGAAAGTTGGAAGTAACTGAATTTTTTTCACGATATTTTGGAGTCGACCCTTGACACCATGTATTTATGATCATAATTGTCGCATTAGACTAAATATTACGAAATACTGGATGAATCAGATTTATTTGATGCCATATGGGGCTTAAACAAATAGTTCTGCAGTACATATAATTCATCACTCTGTACAACTTATATCTTCTAAATTAAATTACTTTAAGTTAATACAACATTTCACACAAAATCCCTCAACCTTTTGAGATCCTCAATTCTCAAGACTGGATCAACCCTTGTTCAAATCATTTCCGCGTAGGGTCTCGTTTGTGCAAAGATATATACTTCAGTTTAATAGTGCGAAAGGATTTACTTGTTTGAAAGTTGTTTGAAGCATAGAATTCTACTTGTAGCCCAACATCTTTTCAAAAATCGACAAATATTAATCCGCAGCTAACTCACTGGTATTCGCATTGGTAATAATATTCGTCTCCATATACCTAATATTTATTCCTTTTGTGGATCGAAGCAGCGACGATAAAGTCATATTACAAACATGCCTTAGTTACTATATCATTTTGAAGTGTTTGGAAGATCCTGTTCATACTCTATCTTACCTCATCCATCTTCACACTTGTTACATGATCTTATGTATCCCTTGAGTTGCTATTGATAACTTCAATAGCTTCAGTTATATGAACCTTCTTCCCCTATAAGTTGTGTGGACTGCTTGGTTAAGATGGTGTGGATTCATCTCGAGGCATTTATTGGAAATGGAAATTTTCAGCTAAATTCAGTCCCTACTCACCCTGATATATCTATTTGGGTTTTACAAATGTTTGATTAAGTAAGTATTGTTCAAACTTCTTTTAACATTGAACTGACAAACTAGAAACTGACGGATTATTTTGTTTTCTGTTATTTCCAAATCGAGTATGAGTCTAATGTGATAATTTATGAACTGCTCTCGGTCTGGCTTCCAGTATATTGAATGCCTGAACTGTGCACGGATATGCCATACTGTATATCTCATTGTACCGTGTTTATCAACTGAATTGTAATCACGTAATTGTATTATTGTTTTTACTGTCAATGTGGTAAGCTGTCTTACGAACAAATTAATCTCAGTAAAGTAATGATTTAGTTAAATTATCCAATTCTAATCACTAAGTCCGAATTTCCACTTGATTTCGCTTTGACAACCAAGAATACCTGGTGTGTGTCAAGTTATTAAAAATTTCCACTTTGCTATCATTTGTTAACATAAAAAGTTAAATCGTTTTAACTAGGTTATTCGAGTTGCACCTAGTGATAGAATGGCTCGTGAGAAATTAACTGAATGCCGGAAGATAATTCGTCGCAAAGCATTTGAAAAAGCTATTGCAATAGAAGATCAACCATCCCCAATAGAATCTTTTGATTTATCAACAATCACCGTAGAAGCTAGTTACGATGGCCCTCACTTAGAACAAGATAGCAATGGAAAATACTTTGTTACGGAGTCTTTTATGTTGGCTTTAATGGAACATTACAAATCCCAAAAAATATTACACAAAAAATATGCCATAATAGTAAGTTAACTTTTTTTATTCAATTTAACAATTTAGCAGCACCATAGCGTTTACTATTTAAAGTTGAGTTTATGCTATATACAGTCCATATATTATATAAAGTAATGACCTAATTATCATGATTCGAATTAAGTACATCACAGTTTTATTCTTTCCCACAAAGTGCTCGAACTAAACCGGATATTTATATTTTTCCCTCTTTATCAAATGAATTTCCGATTGTACTTCAGTTGGAACCCAGATAATGTGTATTTTTTGTTATGAATACAGAATGTCAATATTCAAAGACCAACAGGAATCCTGTAATGTTCCTCTACTCCAGCGAATATTATTTTAGCTATTAATAATATCCTAAGCTACGACCAGTCATACGCTTCAACTGGCCATTTTAACCTTGAGTTAGAGGCGGACTGTAACTCTAACCCTTATTGGTCCAGAAAATATACTTTTTTTATCTCAGTCTTCAGCACTAAAATAAAATAGAAAGCAATAGTGCAGTAGTATAGTTTATAATATATAGTATAGATTAATTTTGTGATTGCAGATCATGAAATTAAGATCTGAGTTTAACTACGTCAAAGTAGAAAAAAACCGGGAGAAAAAGATGAATGGTTAGTTAACTATGGTGAAAAACAGTAAAACATGTAACAATAGCTAGTAAATCTACTGCAAGCTGATAATAAAGAAAATATAGAAATCCAATAATACAGTTATTTATTAATTGTACTGTAAAAATATAGATGATGTTGATAAACCGAGATTAATTCCAAGTTACAGCATTCCCAGTAATCTTTCCGTAACAACTACTTCGAGTTAACATGTCTTGTTACCTTCATTTTTTAGCGTTTAGTTCATCACAGTTGTTTATGTGTGATAATGATGTGTAGAATGAGTGGCCGGGATAATCTTAGGCCTCATATTGTTTTTAATGTAAAATCCCTTTCTTTTGCATTATATCCTCATTGTATAGTTCACCAGTATCTTTGATATCATTAGCTTAACTTAGTCTTAATCTGGTTGGTTCTTTTTTTTGCCCTGCTTGTATGAAGTCGATACATTTGGATTTTATGTTATGCATTATATAATTGACAGACTGGAATCAACTTCAACCAAATATTTAATTCTAACTCACATAAACACATGTAGATCAGTGCCAGGAAAGCCTGTTCATATCACAGAATGATATTTTCCATCGTAATCTGCTATAATAGGGGGGAGAATTAGGCCACATGGTTAGATCATTTGATAGAAGAGCAAGTGACTTAAAAAGCTGTTATCCTATCATTTATGAAAGCTAATCATGCCTGTTTCCGTGTCAGTATTTTGCATGTAAGCATGTTATTTTATTATATAAAAGACCTGTTATTCACGCTAACAGTCCTATCTTTGATATCAACTTATCCGGATTAGCGTAGTCGTCTTAGGCGCAGGGTGATAATTAGATTACGTAACGGCTGCGAATAGTGGTGGGTAACGAAAGCAAGAGAGACGGAAAGGGAAGCGGCAACAGGTAACAGTAGACAACTATTCAGACTTATCAAGGAAACTGGAATTAAGAATCCGACTGTTAGTTAAACTCTCGGAAAAGGATGAGCATATAATTTATTCTCAATCCAAGAAGTCGGATCGATGGGTAGAACACTTTAGGGATCAGTTAAATTGGCCTTCAGCCACACTTCGGTTACTCACGATCTCCAGTCAATTTGAATGGCAAGTTAATGTGATTCCTCTGACTATGAAGTTGAGAACTGCAACCAAGAGGAGTCCTTCCAGTCGTATACGTTCCTCATGTTTATGAAAAGGTTGATAAGAACAACATCTGGATCGCCACCAGCTTTTATTCTAAGCCATGTTTGATAGTGTCTCAGCTCCCTGAGTTTCACTTTTTGACTGCTTCTAACGGCTTACCACCAAGAGTGAGCATAGATACAGTCTGCTACTAGTGTTGTAAAAGTTGTTAGCATTTACTGTGTACAAAGTACGTACCATGCTTACGGATATGATATAATGAATTGCGGATCACATTAACTTGATTATCATTGCTTAGTAATACAATATCATCGAAAAGTCTTTCCAGTTAACACATTAGCACCACCACTACGTGCTTACACCAAAACTGTTTCCAGAATGTAATCGATCGCATAGTTAGAGACAAATAGTGAGACTGGGCAACCATGCTTAACACAACTATCGGGATGTAACAGTAGAGAGAGGTGATTGTATGCCCTCACTCTGCCCAAGGTATTTGTAAACAGGGCTTTCAAAATGTTGATAAACATTTCAGATACATTCTTCTTCCACAGACAATCCCAGATAACATTTCTGTTCAACGAATCAAAAGCGACCATGAAATCAAGAAGCACAACCACTATCGGCATGTGATGAGTACATCAGTGTAGAAAGGTGAAGATATAATCAATACATTCACAATTAGAACAAAAATTAGCTTGCTTCCTGCGATACGATCTTCCATGAATTTTGAAAAGTCAGCAAAATATGACAAAAGCCAATAGTTTGGATGGAATTGAAAGTAGACTTATATCCCAATAGTTATTACTTAGATGACGTAAAGGATTGGGATGACTGTCGCTTCATTCCAGAATTTCGAGACACTCATTCCCAAACTTTTATGACCGATATGGTCTACGGTTAGAGTTCTTTAGGGAACAGTATATCTGGTTTACTGCCACAGCAGAGTTTTTTGAGGCCCTCCTCTTAGTTAGGTAGATCAGTTGTCACTAACCATGGAAGATAAGATTGTCTGGTCGATGCTACTGAAAAGCAATTACTGTATGTTTGCCATGCACTTTGAACATTTCAAATGCAAAGGACTTTCACAACACTGGTAGCAGACTGTACCTGCATCTACTTTTAGTGATGAAGTAGTTAGGAATGGTCGGAAAGTTCCTGTATTGAGGTAGCTATATAAACGATTGTGCTGTTGTAATTAATGAGATCAATTTACGTGTAAAGAAAATCAAAGTGAATCATACCAATTTGGGTTACCATTGGCGCCATTTGATGTTAGTCTGCCTGTTAAATGTCAGGTTTATGTTCATTTTGTGTGAGTAACTGGACTGTCTTCAATCTCTTCATTGGTTCAGGAGTTTTTAACCTGAGAGATTTGTCTAGGCTCATATGTCACATTTTTTAACTTTCTAAGGTTACAAACATCACCGCAAATTTTAATTTTTGTTAAAAATATGTATTAATATTTATGTTTTTGGGTATACCTTTACGATTCATACCATTCACATAGCTTAGTAATTAGATTTTGGCAAGAAACCTACTACATAAATATCTAATCGGCTATTTTGCGAGATCGATCATGATAATTGTATAATATATCTAAAGGTTGTGACATATAGGATCCATTATGTTGGTGTATATTTTATCTTGTGTTTTGCGCTCTATCCATCTGTAAGAATTGATTATCAAACTTTTAATTACTTAACAGTCTCATTCTATTACAGTATATTTGATAATAATATTTTACCTTCCTAATGACATGTATTTATACTGAATGCCTTTCTTTTAAACTACTTTTTTCTGGCAATTATACTTACCTAACACTTATTGGAAGTAATAATTATTTTTGATGATATTAGAGTGTATAGTACTTTATATTGATTGATTTCAGTTTAAAACGTATTACATTTTTAAATCGAGATTTTCATTCCAATTTCTGAGTCATTCAAGCATTTTTATATTGCTTTTTAAGGTGAAAGATGAAGGTTACGAAGTTGCTCACAACGGTCGCTGTATCACTGTTTTCTCAGCTCCTAATTACTGTGACACAATGCATAATCGAGGAGCTTTTATTACTTTGAAAGGTAGTGACAAACCCGGTGAAATGGCTCCAAAATTTACTAGCTTTAAGGAAGTACCTCATCCAGATGTGCGCCCAATGGCTTATGTCAATCCATTACTTTCTATGTTCATGTGATTTGTACATTCCTTTTTCTGATTTTGTGCCTTAGAATGTTTAAAGAACATAGATAAATACATATTCAAATGCATATATATATATATATATATATATATATATATATCATATACAATAACTGTTCATTGTACACATTATATTGTTATAGTTCTCATTCAACATTTGCGTACTTATTCTTAACTGGCTTACTTTTAAACCAAGGATTCTCATGTCTGCATTTTTTTTTATTCCATTGTAATAAGATTACTTTGGAAGAATGTAAAAATTTTTAATCACATCCTTATTACTACTACTACTACTACTATTATTATTATTACTATTATTATCATTACTCTACGACAACAACTACTAGTACTGATACGATTGTTTAAATTTGTAAAAGTTATTTTTCCATATTTAGTTTGATCACCGGTTCTCATTTATACTAGGGTAAATTTTTAAGAGTATATTAGATGAAATCACTGAGTTTCATTTATTTCATCGTTTAACTGTATTGTGTTTGAATGAAAATTATAAAAAGAAAATGTGACTATTGAATTTATATATGTATGTATGTGGCATTATTCTGGGCTAATGTTTTACAGCTGGTGTTTTCGGATAAATGGAAATCTATGAGGGGTTTGAAAGCTAATCAATTTCCATATTTTATTACTCAGTAGCTTAGCTGGCGGCCAAACCAAAAACGTGGTACAAATCCATGAAGTCACTAACAACTGAACTAAGCCATGTTGATAAGTGTAGACTACCTGGTTGGGGTTCGCGAGACAATGGTAACCTCTGGATAGAGACCTTGAATGACATGGCCCAAAATTGTTTACAATGGTGCAGGTGCATCCACTCTTTGTGTTCTCTGAAACTCTAATCTTCTGCATTCTTCAACACCTCTATCTTTCACTTTCTAAATTTATTTCACTAAATTATACTTCTTGAATAGTATCTTCGAACCCTATTCTTCTCCATCACTGCTAATACCTCTACTACTATGGGATTTAAAGTGAAAATGTCATCTCTGTGCTAATGTGGTATGGCAACTTGAACAGATGTACGTATGTATGAAGTTCTACATTGTTGCTGACTGACTGAATAATTATTACTTCATCATCTGATCCTTAGTGAATTTTGACTAAATAACAATTTATGGATGAATCTGGCATGGGTGGATTTAGAATAGCGTTGTTTACTCGATTGTCTCACGATATACGAGCAGTTGTCCGAAGACATTTACGATTGAAAACCCGGAACCTACGAATATTCTGTACTGTAAGTGGATATTTTTCACAACCATATAGTAGGACGGAGGGAACTGCTGCGCAGTAGACGTGTCCTTTAGTTAGTGAACGGATATATCGCCATGTAATGCAAGTTGGCGAAAGCCAATCAATCCTTCTGTATCCGTGCTGGACTAGCTAGTTACTCACCAACTATTCGATGTACATGTATTTGTCAATCTAGTCAGAGTATGAGGATGGATTCTTCCTAGTGACATGGAATGTTATGTGTGCAATGTTCGGAGATGTAAAATGAGGAGTGTAAATTTCAGGCTAAATCCTCTCTCTGTGGTCAATACTTACCACAATTTTTGGGATCGTTTAACCAATGACTAAGTAGGCTCTTAGTATCGCCAAATCTACCTTCTTTTAACAACTAATATAGAAGAGATTTTTATCCCTCTAATTTATTTGAAATTTTTTTCGATTTATGTTGTTGTTGTTATTGTTGAATATGAACATTTCGATATCATAGTTTAAGGCCCTTATTACTTTTGAACTGGAAGTTGATAATAAACATTTCAAAACAAAAGCAAAAAAAAAAACGTAGAATCACATTCTATGATTGTGAATAGTAATTATGATGACATTTTGATTTAGCTATTTCAAACCTATTTGTATAATCGCAATGTTTATATAATTCTGTTGAAAAAATAATTTCTATTATTACTAACTAGGTCAGTTTTATTTATCTGAATAAATCAGAAATAATAATTATTCCCCAACATGTATGTAATTCAATCTTTTTTTTATATTGATAATTACCTATAATGCTTCACAATGCTTATGTGATGCATGAACAGATTGCTTGTATGAGAGAAATTTTGTTGATTTAATTAAATGGGCTAGAAATTAAAAAAAGAAAAGAAATTATCACAAAATATGCATTATCATCTCACTTGAGAATCATGCATTCTCATAACTTACAACTAGCTATAAACAAAAGTAAGAGTTGAGGAAGTGAAACTAAAAGAACAAATCCGAAGTAACAAAGTTTTCGACTGACAACTGGATTGAGTCATGTTGGTAGGTGTCGACTACCTGGTCGGGGCCTGCGAGATGATAGTATTCGATGGTTAGAGACCCTGAATGACATGGCTCAAGACCGTTAACACAATGGCTCAGGTGCATTCATTGTTTGTGTTCTGCCAAATTCTAATCTTCTGAATTCCTCATCACTTTTTCTTTTTAAGTTTATTTCACCAGATTCAACTTCTTGAATAATGTCGTCGAACCCTACCTAATCTCTCCAATTACTGCTATTATTTCTACTATCTCTACTACTATGGTATTTGAATTGACAGTTGCATCTCTGTGCTAATTTGGTATGGCAACTGGAATCGATGTACGTACGTACGAAGTTCTATCTTGTTGTTGAGTGACTGAACAAAGTTTCCAAATATTTAGAATACGACGATATATTCTAGAAAAAACATAATTATGAATATATTTCCAACTTTGGGACATTCTTCCTGTTATTGCTGATATATGGGGATATTATGTTTGTTTATTCTAATGCCTATATTGCCTTTAAACTGTAGGTTGATAAAGTGTATGGTCATTATCCTTCAGTGAATAGTGGCAATGATGATGTTCTGCTTCGTCTGTTTACATATATGTATATATACCTCATATACAAGTTTGGTTTAAAAAACATTCCCATAGCTCGAACAAATAAATAAACTTGCATAACCTATGATTTTCTTCTAGCTTACTTTACAAAACGTAAATTTTTACTCAAAACCTGAAATATATTTGTTAATGAATTGACTCAATGTTTTATGTCGATCGACGAATTGATTTTCATTCATTTATTAAATATTGGTTTATTTTGAAAGATAGAGTATTATGATTATCACTGTCAGAAATTGACTGATGCATAAAATGCAAGCTACTCAAATTACACTATTTTTATCACTTAGTGAGAAAGTTCTTGGATTCGGTACGATATAAGGTTGTCAGTGTGCTTTCTTGAGGACATTAAAAAATTGAGAAAAAAGGTTTTTAAATGTTTACTGAATTTCACCATCTCTGTAAATAATGTCAGTTTGTGATGTCTACTACTCTAGGGAGGAACTCCAGTGTCAGTTTGTAAACGTGATGACGCTGTGACTTATCTGTAGCTATGTAGATTGAAATATAAACATTAGCTAAGCACAATTCGACCAATGTTCAATCTAGCTTGTAGTGTACCACCAAAAACTCTTGATTCAAACTTCAACGATTAAGAAGATCAAAGATGAATATTTAAGCAAACCAATGGTTTATTCCTGCTGCAACCTTCAACAAAACCGAAAATAGCTTGAGTATTCAAACAGGTTTTGGTCTCTCCTTGACGATCGGTCGTTCAAGACAGATTTCATAGTCCGTGATTTGAAAGTGTGCACGACCTAAAAATATGCAAGCTGACAATTATTAAAATGAAAATCCTTTTTTGGTCGATTCGGGTCGAACTTTCTAGAAACAATCCATTTCCCAACAAATAAGACCCAATGTTTATATTTATCAACTTATTACAGATTATAGAAGGAAGAAGATTAGTTAGTTATTTAAGATGAAGTAAATAGATTTCTTAGAATAGAATTGTAAAAGGTAAAAATTCAAATGAATATTATTCATTTTTAAATTATTGAGAACTATTTCGATTATTAGAGGAACAAAAATACTTAGTACGGAACTAACAAACATCCATTAGCTGTTATCGTTTTAATCTAGGTGGAGAAAGAATATTTAGGTACTTTTTAACACTAAATCCCTCCGCCCCACAAACTATGAATGAAATACCAGGAAGATCGCAGTTACACTTTTCGGTTTGAAATAACAGCCAATATATTACACATAGCCATCGTTAGTTCTTCGAAGTCAATTAATTGGTCTGTGTAACCATCTTATTGATAATGTAATCCATTTTTTCTAGTGTTTTGTTTATTTACACATCAACATCAAGCTTTATATTAAACAAATACGGAGGTAACGAATTTCAACAAATTAATGGACCTCATATAACCTCTTAATCAATTAAAGTTTAATTCACTCAACTCTGAGGACACACACTTTGTCGTGAAGTTAGTTATATACCTGGCTTCCTAAACCAAATGAGTTGGTGAGAATTTCGAATCTGTGATCTTTTTTTATTGAAGGGTCAGTATCATAGCAAACCTGTGTAATTCATTATTTAGAAAGTCGTATACATAAATAACACAAGGGAAGATAGTTTTTCTTTCATATGAGTACATTACATGTTGATTTAAATAAAACGTTATCAACAGTATTTGTGAAATCAAACCTATTCATTTTATTTCATATAAGCTTTAAACCATCTAGTATACATATACATATTTTACCGATCGGTTCCTATCACATCTACAATAATTGATTACTAAATAAGAAACTAGGATAACGTTATTATCTGGTGTTTTTGTGCTGATCAGATTCTCTCTATAGAATTAGAGCACATTAATTAGTTTAAGTCATTCAACATACCAATGCTCTTTTCTATTATTTACTAAGTGATATTTACCAGTAACATTCTTTATAGTCAGTTAGTGTGCTGTTACGGGTATGAGGGCGGTTGTCACTTCCCGACTGCCCACACCGTGGAAGGGTTTCTTGAGGAACCTGAAAAAGAAGGTAGATTAGTGTTGGTCTTAGAGACCTGGGAGCGTGACCGCAGAACCCAAGAGACAACTGCTTGAGGCCGGTCACGTACGGCCTTTTTATGAAAGGTTTTTT